GACGAATGTAAATTTCGAAAAAAGAAACCGCATCTACTCTAAGGGAAAGCAGCAAATTTAACAGGAAAAATTGATGTTGATAAATGAGGAAAAAATTAGAGAACGGAATGCAATCGTGTAAATTTTTATGAACGTCAGATAAAACTCGTTATTTCAAATTTTTCTATTCATCTCAACAGTATCTTCGTTGAACACGGATGAAGAATAATTAAAAATGACTAAGTAATGAACATTTAGTTATTACACGGGATGGATAGTTCATTTATTCCGCCTAAATCTGCCTTTAGAATTGAATAAACAATTTATTTTACCGAAATACACGTTTATTACGTGTTAATGAATTTAGTTGTTTCGTTATCTGAACGATGATTCCATTTTTTTATATTTTTATTTTGTTACTCTTCATTTGATGCAAATAAAGTTCATTCAACCCAAATGAACTGTTTTTCTGGGTGTAGAATGAATATTTTGAAGCCTCAACGAATATAAATTTCAGAAAGAAAAGAATCCGTACACTCTAAAAAAAAGTTACTACTCACCAGTACTGAAGTCTACTTGGGAGAAGTTTTCTTGTGAAAAGTTGGGAAACTACTTGTCCCAAGTACTTTTCATGTCCTTGGGTGAAGTACAATATTTGCTAAGCAAGTAGGAAAAGTACTAGGAGGAAGTACTTTTATTACTTCCTGTCAGCATTTTTNAATTCTTCGTTTTTCAACGATCTCCATTGTATGATGAATCTTACTGTAATATTCCGCGAAAATCCATTGGTACTGGATTTGAGTACTATTACTACTTGTCTCAAGTATTTTTTCTACTTTTGAGAAGTACAGCTCGGTACTCAGTACAAGTACTTTCAGTACTGATGATGAGTACAGTTGGTACTTGTCACCAGTGCTAATTGTACTTGGAGCATAAAACTTGTATTCAGTCGATTTTCGACTTGGACCAAGTAAAAAAATTAGCTTTTCTCCAGAAACGCCTCGGTACTGAATACAAGTAGTTTTCCTACTTATCAGAAGTAATCTTTTTTTAGAGTGTATCTAGTCTAGGGAAGAAAGGCATGATTATGCCCCTAGGACCGATAAACCGCTAATTCTAACCTCACTTCGATGTGATCTACTAGTTTTTACGTGTATCGAAAAGGAATGAAGTGAGCGCTCGGCGCTCACTTCAGGCATTCGCGGCCCCTCCCCATTGGTCGGGAGAAGCCGCGAGCTCGCAGGTGATTTGAAGTGTAAAACTTCAAATGTGAAACTCAACTTTACGAAGAATTACTGTTCCGATTTATCATAATGAAGCCGTATTATTCAACAAATGTACTTCATTGACAAGAGTGACATTTTTAGGTCATTCATGACAGCAGGGGTCTTATTTCAGATAACTATCCACTTCAATTTTCCGACATATGTGGTATCACTCACGCTGAATGACTGTTCCATTTTACTGATATGAGGGAATGTCTCGTTTGGAATTCTTCAGTCGTGAGTTTGAACTGTCGGTGCTTTCGGACTTGGAGCATGGGAATCCTGAACATTTTTAGAGAAAAATCAGGGAAGAGCGGGACAACTTCAGAACGAAGTGCATTTCGCAACTTTGGTGTCGATACTGTTCCATATGTATGTAAAAATAATTATTTCTGAAGTGTCAATTGCAATGCATTTTGAAGTGTCAATGCATTTTGAAATGATAAATGCATTTTTTCATGAATGAGTATAGTTATTGTTGCTAATAAATTACCAATTTTCTTCTGAATGGGTTTTCTCTTTTTGATTCTCATTTCACTATTCTCTTCTTCTATTTTTTCTTGTCATAGTACTATCATCAATTGAAATGTCATCAAAATTTTGCGTATTATTTCGTTCTGTCAAATAATTCTACATTGAGACCCTCGCAAGACTCGAATTCGTTTTCAGTCCGGGTTAAATCAAGGTTCAATCAAGGTTTAATCAGTGCAGAGCCGGGATTTAATCAGGGTTTATTCAGGATTTAGCCAGAGTTTAACCCAGGTTCTGTCAGAAGTTAGTCGGGACCGTGAATCAATATGAATAAGTATTCAGCATAATAGAATAGTACCTGAATTTAATAGAGATAGAGATATTGATATAAAAAGCTCATGACGGTATTGTGTAACTTGATAAGCAATGATGCCGTTCTCACCATTTTTCAACTTGATTAAGAAGCCATTGAAATATACTTTTCAAGCCCTGATTTAATTGCTATTAAGGATGATTCTTTCAGTAATCGTGAAAAAACCGATTTTCTCTTTCAAATCGCATAAACAATGTGCTGTAACTCAACAACGAATTGTGCGACCCCCATCACATTCTGAATCAAGAGGGTATTGTTATCAATTTTTTGAGCCATCACTAATTCCATTTTGATGACAATTTTTTGAGTAATCGTTGAAAAATCGATTTTTGGAAAAACATTTTTTCGAATATGTATGAAAAATTGAACTTTAATTCAAGAGCTGATTAAAGTTTCTATTCTTATAAAATTTATAGACTTTAAGAAAAAATTGGAAACTTAAATTTGACTGGTTACAAAGCTTCCATTCGGAATAAAAAAGAAAGAGAACTGTTTTGCCCCATTGGGTTTCAATCCACTGAAAAAAAAATCAATAATGCCCCTGAAAATATCTGGGGCAAAATGGATTAGGATATTTAAAAAATGAGGAATGGCATTGAGGAGAATTTTTATCGACTTCGGAATTTTTTCTTCTGTTCTTAGTTAACATTTTTATTTCCATCTCAAGATTTTTGTTATTTCAACATTAATTCTCTTCCATTGAACGAGGTGAGAAGATGAGTGCGTTGGGAAATCGATAAATGAGAGGTGTTTAGAGAGGCGCGGTACACGAGGTGCATTAGTGACAGCCTCAAGCGTGTTGAGAAATAGCTCATTGTAAATATTGCATCGATATTTATGCACCTCGTCCTGTTCCCTGGTCGGGAGTCTATGGTAGCTTTTCGAGCGTGTGCTCTTCGATCATTATTTCGTCATTCTGGGATTTATTGGATTGGGAATCCAGTGCGATGCGCCGCCAACAGGATCCAACCATTGGAGACATTGGTTAGAGAATAAATTCTGAGTTTACAAAAATATTTCTAATTTTTAATAAAAATATGACGAGCATAAAATCCTGGAACAATGTTCAATCTTCACTTGAAGAAGATTTTTCGTGGAAGAGAGATTTTTCGCGTGAATTTAGCATAATTGAGCTTGAATTAAGAATATATTGGCTATTTAATTAAGAAAATTCGGTCTTTTAAATTGAAACACATAAAATACATCAAAATTCAAGAAAAAAAAATCGTAAACTTTCAAATCTTTTTAAATATTGTTAAGCTCTGTCTTAAAACGAAGTAATTGAGTGCATTAATTAATTAATCTCCGGAATTGAGGATCGATATGCATGAAGATCCAACTCATCAAGCGCGAGACAAACTTTTCCACTTGAAAACAATATTTCTGCAAGCTCTTCGTGTAGAACATCCAAGTAAAACGTTCAGCCCAGTTATATCGACAACGGAGACAAGTATCGGTACGATGTTCATCCCAAGAAAGGGTAGGACCGGGCGGTGGGTGGGGTTTAATCGGTAAGCTGCGGCAAAGCGCTCACTGGGCAAAGCTCCGGGATTCCCGCGTTCAGGTTCACCCGAGTCTGGCTCTTTTCCTCGAGATACAGAATACTCATATACCTATGTATGAACGTGTAGATATCTGGAGAACTTGGGGGACGGTACCTATGTACAGCGAGGGGAGGGGTCGTGTGGCGTAAAGGGTGATCCCTAGGTTGGCCCACGGAAGTGGAAACTTTGGGGATTACCAGTGAAAACCATTGGGATATGGCTTCCGAGCGAAAACGCTCTCTTCTCATTTCTTTTTGTCTCTTTGAATCACCATGGAAAATCCTCTGTCACTCGGGCTCTCTTTATTTTCCTTTGGGGTCGCGGAAAAGTATCGAGAAACATCATTTCCAATTTGGGGGTAAGTGATGACGAGAGATGAGGGGATTTTTATTTCTCAAAATGAAGATTTTTGGTTGTGAGGTAAAAACTGAAATTATGTCGTGAAAGGGGGCGCATATCTCGAGAGGGAGTTGTTTTGAGAGGAAATGTCAGAAGATGTGTTTTACTGGAAATTTCATCAGCTGCGGAAAATGTCTTATGACATTTTTACGTAAAATTATTCAGTTTTGAGGTAAATGGTGGATTATTCAAAATGGAAGCCTTCAATAATTATGTTTTAACGTAAAATTCATCATGCTAGTGATAATTTCTTTTGTTTGGGCACTTCATCTGCTACAGAAATTATCTTCTGCCCAAAACCTTCAAATTTTCAATTTTTTTCTTCAAATTTCTGATTTTAATTGGCAATCCTGGGGGTGAGTGATGACGAGAGATGAGGGGATTTGTTTTTCTAAAAATGGAAATTTTTATTTATGGGAAAAATTACGTAATGAAGTGGAGCATATCTCAAGAGGCAGTTAAAATAAAATTATTAATTCTTGAGGTAAATGATGGATGATAAAAAATTGAAGACTTCAATAAAACTTCAAGAATTATGTATTACCGTAGAATTCACAATGCTATTGATAATTTTAATATAAAATATCGATGGGCATTCTTTTGTTAGACATTTCATCTGCTATATAAAATAAATTATCTCCTGTTCAAAACGTCAGAATTTTCGTGTTTTATCGTCCAATTTGTGATTTTTATTAGCAATTCAGGGGATAAGTCATGACGAGAGATGAAGAGATGTTGTTTTTTTCTAAAACTGAAGATTTTTGTTATGAGAAAAATTATGTAATGAAGTGGCGTAAATTGTTATATTTACTGACATTTTTACGTAAACGTCTCGAGATGAACGATGAGTTATTAAAAACGTTAAATTTCAGTTACGCTTTAATGTAGAATTAACAATGCTACCGATAGTTTCACGTTTTATCGTCAAATTTATGATATTAATTTCCATTCTTCTTATGATGATTACAGGAATCATTCAGATCGAGGGTAGCAATGGACTTCACGGGTAGCGTAGGCCGAATAGTGGAGGACCCTAAGGAAGCGAGAGACATAGCGGAGAGCGAGGGCCTCCTCTGGAGACGGAGATGGCGGCCCTTCTCCAGGTCACCCCCTGGCTGTGCTGTTTCGAGAAAACACGCTCTCGATGACGGTGTTCACGTGTTGAAGCCATGGTTCCACAGGGACGTCAACAGGGACACTGCGGCGAGCCTCGTCCGAGAACATGGCACAGTCGATGGGTAAATATTCCGCAATTATTCCCATATTCATATCTACACTGAGAGAAAAGCGAACAAGTTCTTTAATTACGAAGGGAATTGTTGAACTGAATAATTTGACGAAATTCTACAGTTCCCATTGAGTTTCTCATCAAATTATGATTTCTCAATAACCAAATTTATTGAAATCCCAGTGAAATTTGGAGTTGCAGTTTTAATTTACGTGAATTCGAATAGTTCTAAGTAAAATTCACACACAAATGTCACAAATTTTTGAATTTTCGTAATTTGCATTAATTCAATTGAATAATTTGACGAAATTCTACAATTCCCATTCAGTTTCCCATCAAATTACGATTCCTCAATGACAAGATTTCTTGAAATTTCAGTGAAATTTCAAGTATTACTTGTTGAAGATTAATTTCGAATCTCTCGCGCTACTAAAAATTAAATTCTCCGCAAATGCAGATTCTCAGAGTCTTTGGATTCATAATTCATTGAATTATTTTATCGTTTGTGATTGGAATTTTTTGTATCTTCGAGTGAAACAATTTTTACCCTCGCTTTTACCTTCATTTTGCATGAAATTCCAAGTTTCAGTTTTAGTTTGAGCGAATTCAAAGAGTTTTAAGTAGAATGAACACACAAATGTCACAAATTATTTGAATTTTCGTAATTTCCACTACTTCAATTGAATAATTTAATGAAAATCAAGAATTCCCGTTCAGTTTCCCATCGAATTATGATTCCTCAATGTATCACTTGTTGTATCACTTTTTGAACATTAATTTCAAGTCATTCATACTATCAAAAAATGAATTATCCGCCGAGTGCAGATTCTCAGAGTCATAAGCCCCATAATTCCTCAAATTATCCTATCATTCATGTTTTGAGTTTTTGCATTTTCAAATAATTTTAATGAGGCTAGCCTCAACCTTGCAAAAACCTTCAACATGTCAAAACAAAAACCAAGAAAAAACCCTAAACTTCAAACGGCTGTTTTATGAGACCAAAATTACACGACTTGCCGGTAAAAATCATTGTTATTTACGATTTTTGCCCCTTCGCTGGGTTAAACAAAACCAAAAGGATAATTGGTTAATTAAAGTATGTGGCTGGATATTTTTATGGATTTTTTTTAAATACTCCGGAGAAGGTACCGCCTCGCATTATGTTCTCCATGCTCAGTGGATTTTTTACAACCCCACGGCCATTTTGAATTACAGTGTTTAAAACATCAGACGGTACTCTACACAGTCCATTACGTTACCAATGCTATTGCTAAATTACAGGGATTTGAGGGGTTTTTTCCATTCATTCGTTCGTTCAGAATGTGAAATTGATACTGCATCATTTTGCAGAACATTACCATTCCTCTTTCTCAGCTCGACTGTTTGTTATTCATTTTCTTCTTATTTATTGGGAAATTATTCGGTAAATTGTTAATGGGTGAGAATTTCTGCGCGGAGAAAAAAGTTCACGCTCGATTTTCGGTACTTCTTCACCCTACACTGAAAAAAAAATTATTTTTATTGAGATGTTTCTTTCTTGGAGCAAGTACTATATGCTTGAACCAATTTCAAATAAATAAGATCTTACGGTGAATATCAATTATTTCTTCTTGAGGTACATTTACTTGGATCAAATAAAACAGTCATTGGCGTCAAGTCACATGTATTCACCACAAAAATGGAAAAGTTCTTTTTTTTTTTAACCTAATATAATCTCCAGTCGAGAAATTTTCTATTTTCGTGAATTGATAAAAAAATCGTACCTAGGAGATGATTACATTGAGGAATTAATTTAATGATGTTTTCGCGACTGAAGCCGATGTTTAAATTGAGCTTTCCGTACATCACATTGAACGAAATTTGTGATATCCAAGTTTGTGTTGAATTGCCGTAATCTGTGATTCTGTTATTGTAAACTAATGCGATTTTTTTAGTCAAGAAATATAAACTTCTTTCAACTCAACGACATCTTACTACAATCTCAAAGCTTTTCCCGCGTAACAATATTCATCCTGATTCGACATACGAAATGCTGACTTCAATTATAATTTACTTGGTACAACGTATGATCGTGTTGATTGAGATAACAACGTATTTAGTCATGAGAATAATTTTGATTTTTGAGTAAACCAACGATTTTCTGGAGTTGGCAAACTTTTGGCTAGAAAGAAATCAAATACTCCCATTATTGCGACAAATAAAAAGAACTTCAATTCTAGAGAAGTTCGATTTCTCCCAGTCAAGTGTATCTCAAGAAGAGATAACTGGTATTCACTATGAAATCATGTTCATTTGAAAATTAACAACCAAATGATAGTTGGTTCAAATAAAATTCTCTTGATAAAATTAATTTTATCTGTCAGTGTACACTGAGAGAAAAACGAACAAATTCTTAAACACGTCGTTAGTTGAATATAATTTCATAGAAAATATTATAGTAAATCTGATGAGAGTGACATTGAATCGGATTTAGCGAAAAATGGTTATGAAATTTCAAGATTTAACTAGAATTCACGGAAATTCATGAGTTTTCAATGAGTGAAATGAGTGAAAATTTCCCATCTCCACGCCAGAATCCAAAAACCCGAAGCTTTTCACCCGCATTATATTTTCCCATCGACTCGTCAATCAAAACGAAAGAATAAAATCTCTCACCCCTAAAAATAACTTCTGAATCCACCGCCTGACAAATTGATGCATTCTCTCCTTCCTCGTTATCATTTACTCTCCGTTATCTCCAGTCGCCGGAAAAAGAAAAACCTCAAAAGAAAGAACGACAAGAAGAGGAGTCTCCTTGGTAGTTACCATCCCCCGCATTTTCCTCTTTCACGTTTATCCCCGAGGATATAAATTATAAATTCGCTTTGAATAATTCAGTGTGCTGCCGTCCGCGATGGTGGTGGAGGGTGCGGGTCGGAGATCTCCCAGTTCACTCGGATTTCCCAGCCCGTGTACAACCCGTTTTTCCCTTGATACTTCTTACGAATCGCATTGGAAAAAAAAGTGGAGAGACTGCATTAGTGTCGTTTGTCCCGTCTAATTGCTCCATTCCCTTTCATCTTGATTAAACTGTTTGATTATCGCAGTGTGCATAATTCAGATGTAATCCGTTGAATCCGTTCATCTTCACTTCTAATTCCATCTATTTATTCATCTCTCGTTGTTTCTCGGAATTTAAGAGTAATTGTCTGCATTATTCACTAGGTAATTATTTTGACATTCTTGAGGTAATTTTTCACTCCGTTTTTCTATTGCAGGGTTTTCCTCGTGAGAGAGAGCAAGAGCTATCCAGGTGCATTCGTACTGACTTATAAATATGGAGATAAAGTTATTCATGCACAAATACAACCTGTAAGTATCTTTAATTCAAATTATTGAATTGATTTTTTTTATCATTGAAGAATAATTTTTTGTGGTAATGAAGTAATGAAGTAATGAAGTAATGAAGAGGGTTGAAAGTGTTTGGATGACATTTTTGGTACATTTATTTGGGGAAATTTCGTCGTAATATCCACTGATTTTTCAAGGAGTTGAATTGTTCCATGAAAATTAAACGAAATTGGAAAAATTCTTGTAAATATATTTTTCAAGTTTCAATTAGTGGAATATTCAGCATAATTTGGTACTGGGTATTAAGTTTTTTATTGAAAATTCAAGTAAGTTACGAAATTTTAGACTTTCTGCTGCTCAAAAATTTGGAATTCTCGTAAATTTTCTGTAAAATTCGAAATTCCGTGATTTTTTCCCCTAAACTTCGTATTTTTATTGCAAATTTAAGTCTTTTGAGGAACTCTTGTTTTTCTGCTGATGAAAAATTTGAAATTCCATTGAATTTCACATTTATTCACTGAAACCTCACGCTTTATCGCCCTATTTCTCTTTTCTAAAAAATGCATGGATAATATTTCGATCGCAAAAGGAGAACTCGAAAATGCACAACCGTCTTGCGTCGAATTTTCATGAAGCCCACCTAACAAACAAAAGAGAATTGAATACCATTCTATGAAACATGGATAAACGAATCATAATTGTCCAAATCATTCAGGCCAGAGGATAATAGAATAATTCAACTTTCTTAATATTGCGTTTACTAAGGTTTTCTTCGAACAAAGTTGATGAGAATTAACAGCTGGAATTATGAGATTATCTCACATTTTTGACGTTAAGGATAGGAGAATCTGAATGCAATATAGTGAAAATGATGATCGATTTTTTCACTTTGAACAAATAATATTAATATCCAAATGCAAAATTTCTGATATGAATAAAAAGAAGCTGTGACTCAATATTCCAAATGAAGTTTTAATGTTTAGTTTGGTGCTGATAACACGAGATGACAATATTCTAAGCACGGAATTATATTGATGAGATGAACAACAGATTAATTGAATTACCGTGTGAACTAACTAAAAATTGATAACAGTGTGGGCACGCACTTTTACCAGAGTATCAACAAACATTGAATTCCAGAAATTCACACTCTAAAGTGTGTTCTAGAAGGAATTGAATTGTAATTACGATTGAAATCTTATTCAGTGAGCATAGGAATTAGAGCATGAGCAAATCATTTATTCTAATATGAAAATTTAACAGCTGATAAATTGGGACATGTGAATCTCATCGGTCGTATTGCTTGTCGCAATGAGAATGATTACAAACAATTAATTGAAAAAGGGAATATCGAATGTGATAGGAAAAAGGGCATAATGAAAGGGCTAGTATCGAATTAAATATCTCTTGAAAAAAATAATATTCTGACCCAAATAATGAACAATTCCCTCGATTTCCTTCGCAGACGGTGGACGAACGTGGCAACGGTTGCCTGTACACCCTCGACAAAGGAGTGACAAAATTCTACGACCTCATCCAGCTCGTCGACTTCTACCAGCTGAACGCAGGCTCCCTCCCAACAAGACTGACGCACTACGTCAGCAACGGTCTGGCGACATCACCAGAAGCCGAGAGTAGTTCACCATCGCCATCGCCGTCGTCAACGAAACAGAGCCACAGTCCACGTAAAATGGAGAGCAAAACACCGAGGAGTTGAGTATAGGAGTCCCAGCAGTCCGCTGGTGTCACAAAACGCTTCACTGCTGTCAGTTCTATGAATGTCGATGAAATCGTCATTGTCGACAGTGTCGACGATGACAAGGTTTACGTCAGTGACAGTTGTGTGCGATCGGCACCTTCGGGCTGCTGGACCATGTTCCGAAGCAGCTGCGACGAGTGGGACACGTAGTGATCAGCTGAGTTGGATTCGTTGGATCATCGTGAGGGGGAAATGTTAAAGCATCAATGGGGGCGGGAAATTATTGTTTTGTCTTCAGGAAATGGTTATGTGCCATCTCTATTCACAAAATTGAGAGAGAAGTGACGAATGATGAACTCATGCGCATTGTTTTTCGTACAAAGGAATTTTGGTCAATGCAGACACGGACGAAAATATTTCAATAAAAAACCTGGCGAATTCGCTAAAAACTTCTATTGAATTACATCTAAAAATTCCGTAGATTATCTGGGTTTTTTTTTCAGTAGAAATGTTCAATGTTCAATATTCGACAGGAATTCCTCGGCTCAAAGTTTTTTTTACTTTGATTTTTTCAATGAAAAATTTTAAAAGTAGAGTGAAAAAAATTGAAAATTTATGTCGAGGAATTCGTGTAGAAAATGTTTTCATTCATTTCTATTAGAACGTAAACTTGTGGAATTCTTCAACAGAATTTTCCATCGAATTCGTCAGTTTTTAAATTTTTCGTGCGTATACTCTCAGGTGCATGTCCACGAGTTCATACTAAAAATCCGAGGGATTTCTCCTGTTTAAATTACATGCTTCAGTAGTCGAGGGGTCACCTCCAATCTGGTGCATCTGTCGAGAGGGTCATTTATAACGCGACAGAAAGCGTATAAAAAAGTATATTAGATGAGATGAAAAAAACGTGTCTTTTCCATTTTCTACGTGTCGTGCATATAATCTTTAGAGTTTTGGAAGGAGTTTTTGAGGGGTTGCAATAGTTCAGGGGATTTTGAGAGGGTGTGACTGACCAATTTCGGCCCAGTGTACACGTAACAGTATAATCATTTCACATTTCAACATTTTGTTCAGCTTTTTCCTCTTCGATTGATCGAATGTTTCATCAATTGAATTCAGAGTTTTTTGTTCATCAATTTTTATTTTTTTTTCTTCATTTTTATAATTCGTGGGAAGAGTCGTAATTTTTTGTTTTTATTTTTGCAAAGGGGTGTGCCACAAAGGATCGTCCAAAGGACACATCAGTGATGAAATTAATTTGTCAAGTGAGAATGAAAAAATTCGTCAGCAATACCGAAGGGATTTGTACGAAATAAACATTCGATTCATCTTATTCAAACAGTCTATCCCTCGCTGAATTGATAGTACCATAAAATGGACTGAAAATATTGAGTAATCGAGGAAAAGAATTAATGAAAACAAAAATTTAGTATTTAAGATATTTTTTTATTTTTATTGGCGAAAATATTCGAGGCAATGGAAAATCGTATGAATTTAGTGTGGCCCAGTTTAAATGGACTCTTTGATACTTTACTGATCTCATAGCTTCGAGATGTTCACGTGAACACGATTGATCTGTTCAAGGATTTTCTCTCGTGTTGAGGGTGAGGAGAATGCAAGAAGGGGGAGGAATATTGCGAGCGAGTTAAATTTTTTTAAAGGAGATAATTAAAGGTGATAGATGAGAGGAAAAAAAAGAATGAGAGAGAAAGATTGATTACCGAATTCATTAATTGATGAGGGGTGGGGGTGAGTTGAGTTTTGGCTGTTTAGGTAGAATATTCAAAATTAAATTTATTTCAATTAGTCAAAATAATTGATCACCAATCAGCGTTCAAGGGGAAGTGGTGGACAATGCTGTAATTATTCGTGGAGAATCATTTCCCCGATGAAAATTATAATAATTGAGAGAAGTTTGAGACGTTTGAGAGATGTGTGAGAATGAGATAAAATTATTAACTGGACTGGTGTCCGGAGCAAATGAAAAATAACTTACGCAATGTATTAATATAACTCATCGAAAAAAAAAGAAGAACCACTAGTTCTATCGATACATTAATAATATATTTTTCCATGGATTATTTATTTCCCTTTGTCATTATGAAATACAAAAATCGTTGGAAATGTTTTTGAAAACAAAATCGAGTACTAATAACTTCTGCATTAATGACGAGAAATTATTTAAAAAAACAGCACTTTGTATTAGGTATTAAGAGTAGGGCTTTCCTTTAGAGAAGAGAACAAGCGAAAACGTTTAGAGTAATCGATTAAAAATTTTGTGAAATGAGCGTGAAAACAATGTTCATGGGGATTATTCACCTCTGCCCAGTGCTCTTCCCTGTTATTGTTGTAAATACAATGTGAAAATTCCCTTTCGATAATCAACTTGTTGATAAATTAAATCTCATTCAATGAAATTTGGCCTTTCGTGTAAATATGTCTATTTAGGCCAACCCTTGTAGACCAAAAACCACTCGAATAATTTGGCACTCTGACTCCGCGATAATTTGATCATCAGTATTGAATGGCGGTCGTTCAACACTGACTCTTCAAGTCGTGGATTCCCCAAAAATCCGATACATGACAGCAAAAATATTCTCAATTCACACGAATTAATAATGGAAACACACTGGGCAGACAGTTCAATCCCGAATTAATACTAATGAAATATTATTGTCAAAAAATTTATTAATGAGATAAAATGAAAAAAAAAATAAAAGTAAATAGAGTATATTTTGTATTAATCATAGAACCGAATTAAACGGCAAACGCAGAGGTCTGGATAAGACTGAAATTTAGGTGCCGTGTCTTTCGTAAATTATACCAGTGTCTGTCCAGAAGCCAAAACGAAAAGCAAAATTAAACTTGAAAAAAATGAGAGTTTTAACTTTTATCTAACCATTCACAATGCATTCGCATTAATTCAATTGTTAGAAAACTCAAATCTAGTCGTAAATGTTTTGTTAATTGAAAAAACATGACAATTTAATATTTCTTGATGGACACAATGTTCGCTGTACAGTAGCCATCAGCAGGAGAAAATTGAGAAAAATCGAGAAAGCGAATGAATGAATGAATAAATTATTCAATGGAGTATTCAGCACGAGCACGACTTTGGCAGCGAGTCTCAGTCCCAAATAAATGATTGAATGAATCCCAGTAATAAAGCGTGAACCATTGATTACCCTTCAATCAATTTCCGTCGTTTAGTGAATACTCCATCGTTTGATCGTCGATCAAACGCTAGATGCTCAAAATTAGAAGAAGAAGAATGAAAAAAGAAAAATGTTCAATAAATTTCACGGACGTCTCTGCGCTTGACGTCATTAATATCGGTACGTACGTGCAAAGCATGATGAATTAAGCAAAAAGACGTGTGATAAAGAGTAGATACGGTTCGTGGACGGTGGCTAACGTGCCCCAACGAACTTTTTTTCGCTTCCGTTCTAGCGCCGGCCAGTATATTGACTCCTTTAATGAATTTTGAAAAAATGAAAATAAATCCGTTGGAACGATAACTCATCTGAACATTATCCACTTTGCCAAAATCACGCACTGTACTTATCCATATTGTTAATTACATTTCACTCCTTTAGTGACAGTATGATAATCCTACTTGTTTCATTAATATTTCCTAACTCATCCCTTTTTTTGTTGCAATTATCCTATTTCAGGCAGAAATTGATGAGAACACGTATGAAAAAATGGCACAGGAAATCCTAGACGAAGCCTATAGCAAGGAAACTTCCTGAAAAATCCTATAGAAAGTTTATAACAACCCTATAGGATTTTTCAAATAGATTTTTTATAGAATTACCATTTCTATTCTATAGAATATCTTGAAGTTTCTGGGAAAAACTTAAAAATTCATGTCAAGGATTTCCTGTAGGGATCTTATAGCAATCCTATAGGATTTTTCAAATAAATTTTGCTATAAAATTACTATAGAGAGGAAATTTCCTTATTCTTATGAAATAGGAAGGGAATTCTATTCTATAGGATTTACTATAGTGCCTGAAAAAAAGTGGGGAATTCATGTCACGGAATTCTTATAGAATTTGTGTAGGATTCCGCATTCTATAGAACATTCCGTTCTATATAATTCTGTTCTATAGAATTCCATTCTATAAAATTTTTTACAGTTCTCGGGAAAAACTTGGAAAGTTCCTACAATTCCTGAAAACGTCTCAACGATGTTGCATAGAAAGATTAAATCCTACGGATTTTTTTTCTATAGAAATGCTATAGGATTTCCTATTTTTTTTTTCCTACGTGAAATTATAAGGAATTATCTGCCCAATATTTCTTTAAAAAATTCTACGATGCAATGAGGGAGAAAATGCTCCTGTTGAAAGATGTTCTGCAACTCTGAATTAATGGCATAAAGTTGATTAACGTGAATTCGCACGTAACTTCCGCAGAAGTATTCTACCTCGCACGAAAAAGATTTATAGAAAAACCTCGCTGATTCACTTGAAAATTCTATTAGATTTAAATTCTTAAACATTGCAGCACGTATGAAATGAAAAAAAAAATGAAGTGCTCGGAATTCCTCAAATCGGCGAATATGTTAATAATAATTCATAAAAAAAAATTAATTTTGATTTCTCTTGAACTTTTTATTAGTTGTTTTGCATTTTTTTTTCATTATAAATGTTCAATAGCATTCGATTTTTCTAAACAAATGATTCTATTCAGATATTTCCTACAGAAATTCCTTGGCTCAATTTTTCCACTTTTTTTTGTTTCGTTTTTTTTAAAGAAAAGAGGAAAAATGGAGTTTTAAAAAATCAGAAAATTCATGTCGACGAATTCCCATGGAAAATTTTTCAGTAGACAAAGTTGCGTAGAAAAATGAAATTCTGCTGATTTTTTTCTATAAAATAATTTCTATTGCACACTTTAAAAAAAAATAGAATTTTCCATCGAATTCACTACGTTTTTTCTATGAGACATTTTCATGCGTGATCCCTCAAAGCCACAGCAAAAAATAAAACCATTTCTTTAAATCACCGATGTGCGACTCAAGACTGAGAGCGTCACCTGAGCGTTCGCACCGAAGTTAAGTTAACTCGTATTTTAATTCTAGAAACTAAAATAAAAACTTAACAAATACATCAGTATTAAAACCATCGTCAGTAACATTCTGATAGTCGACTTATGACAAGTCGTACCAACAGCGTTTTATACCTTTTCCATGTGTGCTTAATAGGCGAATTTCAACTGTTCAACAAAAAAAAAACAAACCAAATCTCGAAAAGAAAATAAACGCAAAAACCATAACTTACAGGGTGTCTACGATAGACTAAGTTCCACGATTGGTGAATCCAACACACGAAAAAACAAAAACCACTGAACCCTATTCTCAACTGAAGAATACGCACAAAACACTTGATGTTGCATCATTAGCGATTTTATCATTTAAAAAAAGATAATGCAAATTCATTCACTTGATTTTGATCTTGAGCAGTGAGAGTCATCACACTTTATTTCTTGTTTATATTCCACGTGTCTCACTGTTCATCATCATACACTAAATAAATTTAATGATAATAACAAACAGAAAAAAATATTTAATAATAGTGAATAATTAATTACAAACTGTCTACCAAATAAAATTGAATAAACTAATGGATTAAAATTGTACACATTGTTTGCGCTGGAACATTGACGATCAATATTATTAAAATTTCCAATTGTAAACCTTGAACAGAGCAGATTTTAATGTATAAAAAAAACAAATGGTATAAGTATTCACGATTATAAGGGTTTTAATGTAATCCCATCGTGGAGAAGCAACCCCGCGTGTACATAATTATTAAAAGCTCGTCTCGTAACTTGCAGGAGGATTAACCGATGAAATATAATGTATATGTGTAAATTAAAACTAAGTGTGGGCTCCCAATGTGGAATACCAAGTGAAGTAACTTCAAATTTATTGAATGAAGGAATGAAATTTCAACTAAGAAATATATATTTAATATGAATGAAATGCAGTTGAGTGGATTGAACCGCAATTTAAATTCAACATCACCAGAGACTTCTGACACTGGCGCCTGGGCAGGACGAAACTTTGCGACATATCCCCGTTTATGAGGAGCGACTGTTTATTATTCAATATTTTGGGTTTTTTTTTCACTGGATGAATTTGAGTTCTATAGAAATGTCATACAAATCTGTAATCTGCAATAAACGTGAGCACCTGTAGCGCCGCAATATGTGAAGATCATTGTTATATCTTTGTATGGACCTTTAATACACAATGAATGAATAAATATATATGTATATCAAATGTGTTATTTCAATTATTGCATCCGTTCCGTGTGTTTATTCAATAATGAGGAATCATATTTTTCATTTTAGACGTGAAAATTGAGGATGAAATATCTCATTTTGAGCCAACATGAGGGAAAATAGTTCAAAACAAGTAAAATACCATTTTTCGGGTCATTTTGCGAGCATTATTATTGATAATTAAGTTGAATAAGAATAACTGGCTTCCTATTGCTGTTTATCCTTTTGAAAAAGCATGGGCAATATCTCGAATGAATGGAGAAAGGAAGACGGTTTTCATGAGTACAATCGTCTTGCGTCGAATTTTCATGAACTCAGCCTAACACACAAAAGAGAATTGACTATTATTCTATGAAACATGAATAAACGAATCATAATTGTCCGAATCATTTAGGTCAGAGGATAAAAGAATAATTCTACTTTCTTAATATTGCGTTCACTAAGGTTTTCTTCGAACAAAGTTGATTAGAATTAACAGCTGGAATTATGAGATTATCTCACATTTTTGACATTAAGTATAGGAGAATCTGCATGTGAGATGAACAACAGATTGATTGAATTACCGTGTAAACTAACTAAAAATTGATAATATTGTGGGCACGCACTTTTACCAGAGTATCAACAAACATTGAATTCCAGAAATTCACACTCGAAAGTGTGTTCTAGAAGGAATTGAATTGTAATTATGATTAAAATCTTATTCAGTGAGCGTAGGAATTAGAACATGAGCAAATCATTTATTGTAATATGAAAATTTAACAGCTGATAAAGTGGGGCATACGATTCTCATCGGTCGTATTGCTTTTTGCAATGAGAATGATTATAAGCAATTCATCAACACACGTTAACACAAGTAAAACAATATTTTTCTTGTCATTTTTTAGTCATTATTATTGATAATTGAGATGACTAAGAAGAATTTGTTGTATCGTGAAAAAAATGGCGGGGGGGCGGAGCCCCCACAGAGTACTTGAGGGGGGGCGAGGCCCCCTTGCTACCAAAAAACCAAATACTTATCAGAAAAAAAAGAAAAAAATGAACAATTTGTACATTTCGTCATTTTGGCAAAAAATCTACTAAATTTCTGTTGAAACTGTACAAGTCTATTGGAGTTCCGTGAACATTCTGTAAAATAATTCCATTGATTTTTTGCATCATTTCTATTCAAGATTATGCCACTTTACCGTATCATATTTGAAAAAGCGATTCTAATCAAAGATGAAAAAACAGTACATTATGTCACTAGGCGATAAAAGTATTATCTGACGAATGTGATTATAATCCTAGCCTTCGGCTCGGGTTATAGAGTCATAGCCAGACATCGGCATAATCGAAATTTAGAATTACACTTAAATTTGGAATAAATCAATTGTTAATATTACTCACCAATTTTTTTATTTAAAAAATAACCATCAATTTAAATTTTAAAATCTGAATTATTTTCCAATCATCAACTTAAATATTCAAATTCGAATTATTTTATCAACCAATAATTGATAAATTAAATTACCATTTAATATATTAATTTTCAAATTACAATTACGGTAAATAAATTTAAATTACTATAAGCTACAACTTCTCATAATATTACTAAAAATAATGATTGATGCCGATCTATGGTCACAGTGATAATACTAAAAACAATCCCAATGGTACGAAAGGCGATAATACGTTTATCCCCGCGTGGCACACAATATTTAATGTCATTGAGCCCGAATCGCGGTTTTCAGGCCTAGGGACATAACAGTATATTCCGAAACGAGCGCGTAAAACGTATTTTTGTCCCGTGGGAGGTATGTGGCGCTCCAAAGGCGAGTGCTGCCCTCCCAAGTTTCATTTTAAGCCCGCGGAGTCCGTAAAGTTTCACTTTACGCACAAGTCATGAAATATCCTAATAAATAACCGGAGTTGCATCGCGCATATCGCGCGGCTACTCCTCGTCCCTTCGCCAATCCCGAATTGATAAGAACGTCACCAGTAGCCGCGCGTTATCCTCCATTGTTCCCCAACAATCGACGCGGCTGCGCACGCACGCTGGCAACAGGTAAAAAATACCTGGCTACCAGGTTAAACTATAGGAACGTACGGTACCACTTACCTGCGTCTGCCGCAGGTGCAGAGAAGAGGGAGGGTTTGACTTCTCAAGGTGGGAGTCGAACCTGACCGGTTCGGCTCGGCCTGTACTGCCCGACGCCTTTCGATCGACAGTCGCGCACACGAAGTCGACACATCAGGTGCAAAAGAATACAAAACTCCCGGGTAACAATATGGTAACATCAACGTCAGCGGCAAAAACCGTTCTTCGAGGGGATGAGTAATGCTGTAAGTGCGTTTCAAGTGTTTTTCAAGCGTTTTCAATTCGAAATTGAAGATAACGGGGGAATTTTAGAAAGTTTAACGGCGCGCATGCGCGATCTGGTGAAAGCGACGGGAAGTGACTTCTTTATTTTTATTGTCAGAATAAATTCAATTCGCGTTTTTAGAAATATGTACAGAATGTTTGAAAAACGGGAGGTAAAAAGGGAGAATTTTCCTTTTTCTAATGTCGAAGAAGGATATTTCCGCTGTTTTTTCACAGAATAATTGACTTGAGGCGGAAAAACATTCATAAAAATTATTTTTTTTCATCTCGCGAACAAATGATTCAATTCTTCAACGCAATTCAGCAAACGGGGCGATATTATCGCGTGGCAAATTATGTTGTGGTTTGTAGTTGTGGTGTTGATACTTTGGATCAGAATAAATTCAATTCATGTTTTTAGAAATGTGATTAGAATGTTTGAAAAACGTGAGGTAAAAAGGAAGAATTTTCCTTTTTCTAATGTCGAAGAAGGATATTTCCGCTGTTTTTTCGCAGAATAATTGACCTGAGGCGGAAAAACATTCATAAAAATTATTTTTTTTCATCTCGCGAACGAATGATTCAATTCTTCAACGCAATTCAGCAAACGGGGCGATATTATCGCGTGGCAAATTATGTTGTGGTTTGTAGTTGTGGTGTTGATACTATGGATCAGAATAAATTCAATTCACGTTGGTAGAAATGTGATTAGAATGTTTGAAAAACGTGAGGTAAAAAGGAAGAATTTTCCTTTTTCTAATGTCGAAGAAGGATATTTCCGCTGTTTTTTCGCAGAATAATTGACCTGAGGCGGAAAAACATTCTTAAAAATTCTTTTTTTTCATCCCGCGAGCGAATGATTCAATTCTTCAACGTAATTCAGCAAACGGGGCGATATTATCGCGTGGCAAATTATGTTGTGGTTTGTAGTTGTGGTGTTGATACTTTGGATCAGAATAAATTCAATTCATGTTTTTAGAAATGTGATTAGAATGTTTGAAAAACGTGAGGTAAAAAGGAAGAATTTTCCTTTTTCTAATGTCGAAGAAGGATATTTCCGCTGTTTTTTCGCAGAATAATTGACCTGAGGCGGAAAAACATTCTTAAAAATTCTTTTTTTTCATCTCGCGAGCGAATGATTCAATTCTTCAACGCAATTCAGCAAACGGGGCGATATTATCGCGTGGCAAATTATGTTGTGGTTTGTAGTTGTGGTGTTGATACTTTGGATCAGAATAAATTCAATTCATGTTTTTAGAAATGTGATTAGAATGTTTGAAAAACGTGAGGTAAAAAGGAAGAATTTTCCTTTTTCTAATGTCGAAGAAGGATATTTCCGCTGTTTTTTCATAGAATAATTGACCTGAGGCGGAAAAACATTCATAAAAATTTTTTTTTTCTCATCTCGCGAACGAGTGATTCAATTCTTCAACGCAATTCAGCAAACGGGGCGATATTATCGCGTGGCAAATTATGTTGTGGTTTGTAGTTGTGGTGTTGATACTTTGGATCAGAATAAATTCAATTCATGTTTTTAGAAATGTGATTAGAATGTTTGAAAAACGTGAGGTAAAAAGGAAGAATTTTCCTTTTTCTAATGTCGAAGAAGGATATTTCCGCTGTTTTTTCACAGAATAATTGACTTGAGGCGGAAAAACATTCATAAAAATTATTTTTTTTCATCTCGCGAACAAATGATTCAATTCTTCAACGCAATTCAGCAAACGGGACGATATTATCGCGTGGCAAATTGTGTTGTGACTGGTTTGCAGTTGTGGTGTGGTGTTGATGTTTTGGATTTTTGGGTTTGTTTCCTGAGAAAATTAATGGGACTGATGAAGTGGGTGGGGAATGGTTTCGAAGTCGTATTTGAATTGTATGAAGTTTCCTCTTTATCAATTAATTAATTATATGAAAATCGGATGGAGATTCATTCATTTAGCGTGAGAATTCTTCGGTTTTTATCTCTTTTTCTAAAATTAACTGCAATTTAATTTCCTCAATGGAATAATTCATTGCAAATTTCATTAATGTTTAAAAAATAGTAGATTGTGAATGGAAATAAACGTTTTTTTACCGTTTTATGAAATTGAATGAGGAAAACGCTAATTTGAATTAAATGTTTGGAAAACATAACATAAAAAAAAGAATAATTTTCGGTTTTTTAATATGAAAAAAGGATATTTCCGCTATTTTCTTCGCAGAATAATTGATCTGACACGGAAAAACATTTCTAACAATTCTCTTTTTTCATCCTGTATACGAATGGTCCATTTCTCCAACGGAATGCAGCAAAGGAACCAATAATTTCGCGTGGAAAATTGTGCTGTGACTGATTTGCAGTTGTGGTGTTGATATTTTGGACTTTTGGGTTTGTTTTCTGAGACAATTAATGGGACTGATGCAGTGGGTGGGGCATGGTTTTAACGTCGTATTTGAATTGTATGAAGTTTCCTCCTTATCAATTGATTAATTACATGAAAATCTTATGAAGATTCATTCATTTAGCACGAGAATTCCTCGATTTTTATGGATTATTTTCAAATTAATCGCAATCTACTGGAGAAACTCATTGATTTTAATTTTGTCACAGGGATAACTCAATACAAATCTTATTAATGCTTGAAAAATAGCAAATTATAAAGTGAAATGAAACCCAGAATATTTTTTTTATTAGTCATGAATCACAATGAAGATTTTTATAGCTTTTTTTACTGTTTAATGAAATTGAATGAGGAGAATAATAGTGTAAATAGAATCTTTGAAAAACGTAACATGAAGAAAAGAATAATTTTCCATTTTCTAACATGAAAGAACGATATTTCCGCTATTTTTTCGCAGAATAATTGATCTGATGCGGAAAAACATTCCTAACAATTCTCTTTTTTTCATCCCGCAAACGCAGGAATTATTTCTCCAACACAATGCAGCAAACGGGGCAATGATTTCGCGTGGCAACTAGTGTTGTGACTGGTTTACAGTTAGGGTCTTGATGTTTAGAATTTTGGGTTTTTTTTTGAGGAAGTTATTGGGACTTATGCAGTGGGTGTGAAACGGTTTTAAAATCGTATTCAAACTGTATAATGTTTCCTTTACATTAAAAATTGATTAACAGAAAATTGTGTGGAGAATCATTCTTTAGCATGAGAATTTCTCGATTTTCATAGATTTTTCTCTTTAATTAATTACAAAAAGCTCGAAAAATTAATTGATTTACGTTTCTTCAATGGAATAATTCCACATAAGTCTTATTAATGTTCAAAAAATAGCAAATTACAACTTGAAATAAAACCCATAATAATTTTTTTATTGTACACGAATCAAAATGGAATAAAATGCTTCGACTTGGGATAAACTGAGAATTTATTTCGTGATTTTAATCAATTTGTTACTGTTTAATGGAATTGAATGAGGAAAATGTTTTTTTTTTCTTTTGACTCCGTGCATTTGCTGCATAAAATAGACAACCGAGTGTTGTGTACATCCGCCTCATTGTGTGCATTGTAATTTTATCCGGTGGACGAAAACTCCAGGGTACGGAGCATGACTCCTGCTGCATGAACCATTCTCTCTCCCTTTTTCATGTTTCGGTCTTCGCTCGGCGCTGGCCCTGGAGAACCCGTCCGACGGCATTCCGGGACGGCCGGTCGGGGAGTCGAAACGCCAACGCTCGAGTCAAGGATTTGTTCCTTGTTATTTTACCGGTCATTTGCGCTGTTAGAAATTTTCCCAAATTTAATGCTGTGGATTTTAATTCAATTTAAAATCAAGTTGTTCACAGAATTTGTGATTCACTCACTGGGAGAATTGAACATTAGATTTAATTCAGTAGCGAAGTGGTAAAACGGTTTAAGTCGACTTATCTCCCAGTTCAGTTTTTGAGGAATATTTCCGAATCTAAGGGAGATAAGGAAATTTTCGTAATTACATTTGTTGTAGCTCTCAATCGGCTCTATAAAAGAGGTTATGAGAAAAATTTTGCTATCTCCCTTAGATTCCGAGATATTCATTGAAAACTGGTCAATAGTCAAAATTGACTTATTTCCTTTTACCACTTCGCTACTGAATTGCATTTTCAATAGATTGAGAATTAATAGTGATATATTTCGCCACGAAAATCCTTTCCGGCGTTTTTTACAACAACATATATTTCTCAATTTTTGAGATTTTCTGTGGTTTTGATTTAATTTCATGAAATATTCAGGAATTACTAATTTGTAAATAACAACACATAAAATAGATATAATAGAAAATTTCATGTGAATTAGTCTCAAACATGAATAACTGTATTCATAAAAAAAATTCTATTGATTTAAAAAAGAATGAAAAACAGATAACGTTCCTTATTGGTAAGCTAATCAAATTCCTTCATTAAATTAATTCAGAAAAAAATGTATTGCATAAAAAATTCACGTAAGAACCGAATTATCACGAACGAGCGGTTTCCGCCCGTTTCAATAATTTCTACTTGAACTTGGAGACGAAATTTCTCATCACTGTCTCATCCCTATCTCATTATACGCTCGTGCACATCCCTTCCGCACATATTCACCCGAAAATTCGTTGAATTTAAATTGCCGAGCGCTCCCACAACCGCTGAACCTCCCTGCACACCTCGACTCCTTCGCCGCTCGTTTTTTCCAAGCACAAAGAATGCTATCGTGACTGTATGCCCCGCGTGTAATACGAAAGCGATTAACTTGCGTTAGCGCGACTCGTTACTGATGGCCGAACCCCATGGCCTGTGAAATTACGTAAGAAATCGAGTGTGCGAACTTTGAGGTGAAAAATGAAAATGGGAGGGAAGAAATACCGAAAATAGAGGATATGAATTTCGTCCGCAAAGCGGGGATGGCCATCAATTATAGGACTCTTCAATATTAAGAGAATTTACGACTCACATTAGTTCATTATTTGATGAAAATTAACAGAAATCCGAGAATTCCGGCAAGTATAATGTAATTTGAAGCTGAATAGTTATACTTTGATTCAATATTCATGTAAGTTGGGGATTTCTGGTTTTCCTGGCAGTGAAATCGGAGATTTCAACCAATTTCGTTGTTAAAAATTCATAATTTGATGATAAAATCGAGGGAAACTTTCAATTTTAATTGAATTTCTCCGTCAAAATTAATAGAAACAAGGAGAATTTGCGTAAATATGTCTTTAATATTCAACTAACGGGAAATTCAGGTTATTTCGGTACTGAATCTTCAAGTTTTGACCAAATATTCAAATAAATTGAGAAATTCTTCTCCTCCTCCTGCTCAAAATTTTGGAATTCCACTGAGATTTCAGCGATCTTTGAAATTTAAATTTTTTGTCAATAGTTTTGTTTAAAAAATCACTGACACATCCCAACGTTTTGAAATTATCAAAATCCCATTCCTCCAATCTCCATAATTTGAAGAATATTCCAATTCCTCGCCTTTTCAGTAATTAATTAGCAATCATTCACGACTATCTCAAATATAAATTGGAATACTGTCGTCCCGGCCCGGAATAACAAGAAAAAAATTCTGAAAAAATAATTAACGATTGCTGGAATCAATTAAGTTTTCTTTCTAAAGATTTAACAAAGAAGGTACTGCTTATCGCTCTCCATGTTGGAATACTTGGAGTGAAATCGTGAACGTGTCTCTCCTTCATTAATGGTTATATTATTATACATTAATGGTTATATGGCATTTACCGAATGGTGAAAGACACGAGTGTTTATATTTTTATCTTGAGCGATGAGTCATGCGGTGGTAATGTTTCCTCGTCCTTGGTTGGATCGTTCATTTACATAATTCAGGAAATATTGTTACACATAACTTAGTTTTCACGAGTGTCGCCACAGGAGGATGTGAAGAATCGAGTTGTCGGGAATTAATTGTGAGTTATTTTACTCAGTATTCCGGGGTGAAGAATCACTCGCAGACATCGAACTCAGACGTTCTGTAGTACATTCCTCGAAAAATTTAACGGGCTCCACAATTACAAATTTAATCATTCAGTTCAATTCATAAATTTTTGATTTTATGTGACAATTTTACATACAAAATGTCTTGATATTCTCTCCTCAAAAATGTGATTTAAAGCCCAACGAGAAATTCCAAAATGTAATAATGTAATGCAAAATGAATATATAATGCAGAAATTAAAAAATATTTACCAAGTTTTGATGAAACAAAACTGTTTCATAAAAAAAAATCGTAAAACAATTATGAATTTAATCGTTCAGTTCGACTCATAAATGTGAAAGCGCTACGAGAAATTCAACAAATTAAATAATTCACTGCAGAATAAAAATATAATGTAGAAGTAAAATAATATTTACTATTTTTTAATTTTAAAAAACGCTTTCATAAAACGAAAAAAAAATCGAAACGCAATTGTGAACAGTAAAAATGTAAATGTTACGATTGATATTCACGATTCAGGTGTTGCGTGACGAATCACACTCAGCCATAGAGTTGAGACATTTTGTATTATATTCGTCAAAAAAAATTACGTAGATTTCATAATTGTGAATTTAATCGTTCAGTCCAACTCATGAATTTTTTATTTTACGTGAAAGTTTCAAATGAAAAATGCCATGACATTTTCTCCTAAAACAGGTGGTTAAAGTCCAACAAGAAATTAAAAAAATTAAATAATTTAATGCAGAATGAAAGTATAATATAGAATTAAACAAATATTTAATACGTTTTGATAAAAACAAAATGTTGCATAAGAAAATCGAAACACAATTGTGAACAGTAAAACTGTAAATTTGACAATTGATTGNTTTTTTTTTTTTTTTTTTTTTTTTTTTTTTTTTTTTTTTTTTTTTTTTTTTTTTTTTTTTTTTTTTTTTTTTTTTTTTTTTTTTTTTTTTTTTTTTTTTTTTTTTTTTTTTTTTTTTTTTTTTTTTTTTTTCAATTTTCGTTTGTTGGTTCAGGTGTTGCGTGACAAATGACAATCAGACGTCGAGTTGAGACATTTTGTATTATATTCCTAAAAAAATTGAGGTAGATTCCACAATTATAAATATAATCGTTCAGTTCAACTCGCTAATTTTTGATTTTACATAAAAATTCATAAAAAAGTGTCTTGACATGTCTTTCTAAAACTGATGATTCACATCCAACGAGAAGTGAAAAAAAAAATTCGATGCAGAATAGAAGTAAAACATGAAATTCAAAAAATATTCATTACGTTTTGATGAAAAGAACAGTTTCATAAAAAAATCGACACCCAATTGTGAACAGTAAAAATGTAAATTTCACAACTCATGTTGATGGTTCAGGTGTTGCGTGTACGTAACCCATTCAGCGTCGCAGGTGTGTGAGTGCGATTGAACAAGAGTGTACACAGTGGAAACACCTTTAACACGTAGCGTTCGGTCGCGCACAAATTCCTTGAGGGTATAACCGCCGGAGAATTCCACCGGGAGTGGGAAAAATCCCTGGACGCGGGAGATACTGTATTATCCACGATAATAAGGCCGATAATTGCCGGTTCTGTGGTAATGTCTATTGCCCCTGACCATTATCTAAATCTCGTCAATGCATTAATTATGATTAACGATCGTTAATATGAAAAAAATCCCCGTTGTGCCCCAGCAGTTTCTGAGAATTCTAATAATTAATGTCGGGAAGTAAAGTTTTTCAACTGTATTTGGAAAATAATTGGGATAAAACAGGTGGACAATGGCATTTTTAAAAATAAATGAGTGTAGTTATTGTTGGTAATAAATTAACAATTTGCTTGCGAATGGGCTCACTTTTAAAAATTCTTATTTCATTATTCTCTTTGGCAATTTTTTCAGGTCCTAGTACTATCATCAGTTGAAATGTCATCAAAATTTTTCGTATTATTTCGTGCTGTCGAATAATTCTACATTCAGACCCTCTCAAGACTCGAATTCGTTTTCAGTCCGGGTTTAATCAAGGTTCAATCAAGGTTTAATCAGTGTATAGCCGGGATTTAATCAGGGTTTATTCAGAATTTAGCCAGAGTTTAACCCAGGTTCTGTCAAAAGTTAGTCGGGACCATGAGTCAATATGAATAAGTATTCAACATAATAGACTGGAACCTGAGTTTAATAGAGATAGAGATTTCGATATAAAAAGCTCATGACGGTATTGTGTAACTTGATAAGCAATGATGCTGTTCTCACCATTTTTCAACTCGATTAAGAAGCCATTGAAATATACTTTTCAAGCCCTGATTTAATTGCTATTACTGATGATTCTTTCAGTAATCATGAAAAAACCCATTTTCTCTTTCAAATCGCATAAACAATGTGCTGTAACTCAACAACGAATTGTGCGACCCCCATCATATTATCATAGAATCAAGAGGGTATTGTTATCAATTTTTTGAGCCATGACTAATTCCAGTTTGATGACAATTTTTTGAGTGATCGTTGAAAAATCGATTTTTGGAAAAATATAAATTTTTGCCAATCTGCAGGAAAAATTGTATTTTAACTAGTGTCAATGAATAGAGCTTATTAAAGTCTATATTTACGAAAAAATTCATGAAACTCGATTGATCCCGTACAGAAGAATTAAAAAAAAATGAAGAAAAATTTTAATTTGAGTGATTACAAAGCTTCGGAAGCAAAATAAATAAATAACTGGATTAAATACACAATTTTTTTTCTTTTGTCAATTTCAGATTATGGATCCCCCGAGGAACGAACCATTCGACTACAATTAGAATGAATGCTCAATGAATTCGAAATAAAAATAATAATGAAAGTGTGTGAATAATCCCCGTGAAATCCAGGAATTAAAATGTTGACTAATTGGATCATCGGAGTATTCCTGATTGTGACAGTGGGGGGGACACTGGATCCAGCGGGTACAAAGTGTGGACAGAAGAGGTGCACCACCACTGAGTACTGCAGTCCTTATGACACTCAGTGTCGACCGTGCACAGCAGCGTGTGACACCTCCAGTCACAATTATCAGCCGGAGATCTGCGTCAAAGACTGCCAGGGTGAGTGCCTCCTCCGTTATTTGTATTCAATGAAGTTGGGAAAAGGTCTGTGATTTTTTTTTCGTGAGAATACGAGTGTCGAAACCCGGAAAAATGGGAAAGGGGGGCGGGGGCGCAGGTAGAAACACCTGGAGATAAATATTGGCTTCTGAATCTTTTTTTTACATCTTCAGGGGTAAGTCATTGCAGCAAACAAATTTGATTTAGAGTTCTTAAAAATTTTGTGAAAAATTCTCATTCATTTTTTCTTGGATTGGATTTTCTGTTTGCTTTATTAAAAAAAAATAATGTGAATGGGAAAATACAAAGATACTTTTTTTGAATGAATAATGTCTTCATAAAAATTCAAGATGAATGCGAAGACTTTTTTTTACTGACCTTCAGAAATTCCCTTGAAGAATTCGAAAATTCAATTCTTTGTATTTTTTGTGTACGCTTTATTCATTTTTGGAAGATTTGTTGGTGATTTTCTACTAAATTTTCGTCATATTTTCTGTTTACTTTATTTATAAAAAAAATGAAGTGAATAAAAAAGGACGAAAATTATTTTTTATCAATGCGTAATTTATTTATAAAAATTGAAAATGAATGCGAGGAGTTTCTTTAACGAACTTCAGTCAAAGTTTCACTCATTCATTGGGTTTCGAACAATCCATTAGAAATAATCTGCATGACATGAGATAAAAGAAACGATTCAAATTTATGCGTATGAACTCACCCGCTAATTGCAAAAAAAATAAAAGTAACTGTGATTTTCAATAAATTATTCTCTCAATCCATTATTCATCGCTTATTTATCATTCTCACCCAGCAAGAAATAGCCGCAACGATGACATAAGTCGACATTTCTTCCTCATACCAATAACTCTCGACATTGTCGTCAGCCCCACCCCGACATCTCCGTGAATTTTCATCCTCGCGATTCATGAATGAAAAACGAGTGGGATGCACACACCACTGACGCCAACATATCCCCCTTTCTGCGACACAGGAGCTCTGAATGTCGTAAATCCATGCGGTATTTTCATGCCCGCAAGGATATCTGTACACTCTACGTCGCCTCACTGTGGTTTGAATCCAAGTTGAATCACCATGGAAAATACCAGGCATCTCGATGCTCACCATTAATCAACATCAACCGCAGTTGGAAAAGTCGTTTCTCATGGGAGTTACATTGTTGATGGTCTCAATTATTTCTTGATTGTGAACTTCCTATTTTTCGGCAAATGCATGAAACACTTTCACTGAAACTCAGCGAATTTAATGGAAAATTCCATTGAATTTCTGCTGTATTTCTATGGAAAATTCTATAATTTGTTCAAAGTTTTGAAATTAATTGTTTACAATCATTCTCATTGCAAACAGCAATACGACCGATGAGAATCATATGTTCCAATTTATCAGCTGTTAAATTTTCATATTACAGTAACTGATTTGCTCGTGTTCTAATTCGTACGCTCACTGAATAAGATTTTAAACATAATTACAATTCAATTCCGTCTAGAACACACTTTAGGGAGTGAATTTCTGGAATTCAATGTTTGCTGATACTCTGGTAAAAGTGCGTGCCCACACTGTTATCAATTTTTAGTTAGTTCACACGGTAATTCAATTAATCTGTTGTTCATCTCATCAATATAATTCCGTGCTTAGAATATTGTCATCTCGTGTTATCAGCACCAAATTAAAAATTTAAACTTCCTTTGGAATATTGAGTCACAGCTTCTTTTTATTCATATCAGAAATTTTGTATTTGGATATTAATATTATTTGCTCAAAGTGAAAAAATGCTCGCAATTAGCAATAATGCTGGATAGAAATTATTTTATGTAAACAATCAGTAGAATTTCAATTTTCTAGACAATTTACTCTATTGATACATTTTCTATAGGAATTCCTCGACGCGAATTTTCTCTTTTCGTTCTCATTTTTTGTTGTAAAAAAATTAAACAAAAAACATTTTTGCTTGATATGAACATTTCAATTCTTTTTTAGAGAAAGTTCCGGTCTTGTTCAATGAATTCTCAAATGAGTGTTCTGTAAACAATTCATGTTACATGTGTTTGTGAATAATTAACATCGTGAAGAGTATTTTCATCTCCACTTGACGTACGTCAAGATGACTAACAATACGACTCAACTATGGTCATCACTCCATTCATAAAATATTATGCAACGAAATTCTCCTCAAGTTCCGGGAAATCGATCGTTTAACACACAGAAGAAATCATGAATGAGTGGTTTTTGCGGTTGACTGAGAATAACGATGATTGGATTGCGAGAGATGTGACTGTATCGCCATCATTTCTATCAGTCATTGATTCTAATTGCAAGGATGATTGAGATAAGTGATGATGGAAGAACAATTTCTTCACCAAAGCACAATAAAAAAAAGACCACTGATTTTTATTGCTGATGTTTAGGTGATAATCTATCACTAATTATTGTTGATGAATTTCAATATTTAATTCAATTGATACTTAATTTATTCATTTATTCATTCATTTATTTGATTGATGATTAAGTTAATAATAAAAAAATTGTTGGATAACATTAACCAATTGCCTAATTCAAATTAATCTCTCATCAATTCCCGCGGAACAATTAAACTCAAATTTACAGTTCCCACCGATTTTCCCCTGAAATTATCAATTTTTAATCGCGAAATTCCTTGAAATTTCAGAGGAAATTAAATGATCCTTAAAAAAAATAAACCATGCTTGATAGAAATTTCCCAGACTGACCGGAAATTCAAGTCTAAATTTTTTAACAGTGTACTTATTAAACTTTTTATTCCCCCTAAACCCATTCATTAAAAAACCCTAGAACTCGTAAAATGAATTCACCTGAGTCCACAGCCCCAACACCTGAACTATTCAAGACTTTAACTTCCCACCTGACTGTACGTCGTTTCACTTCACGCAACTCTGCCCGGATGAGTCACCGGCTCCATCCGCCCCCCTCCCCCCCGCCCCACACCGCCATTCCAAGTCGTTCTCTTCATCCTCGTCCCCTCGACGTTCGATTGAAGAATTTTAGATTTTTTAGGAGCCGCAGGTAGTCATCCTCGATTCCATTCCATTCAGGACACAAAAGGAATCGTATTTCATCTCCCCAATGGGAGGAAGCTACTCCAGCCCCGAAGAAGACCCGAAGAATAGCATTAGCCGTTCAATTCCGCTCTGTTATATAACGGTTTTTTTTGCTGCCCCCCGGGTCTTAGTAATTTATATTGATATGTTCTGGGAATATAATAGGGCTGTTTTGGACAGTCAAAACATTATTTCCTAGTCGGGGCATTTCGCACGAGTGTGAGTCACCTCCTCGGCATGTGGATCATGCATATTACATGGGTAGCATCAACCTGCTACGCTGGCGGTGCCGGTTGTATCAAGAAATCGATTTCGCGGGATATCGCGCTTCAGGGGCTCCCCCTGCCTTTTGCTGTTTCAATTCTTTTCGGTTATTTTCGCTCTGTTTTTGATCGATTTCGGGATGGTAATGAGGGTATTAGAGATGTATTAGACTGGTAACAATTTCGTCCGAAGGTTTTGATAAAAGATTCTGGAAGGGAATCGCCGATCTTGAGGCCGAGAGTCAAATATCGCAAAGATCACAAGGAGATGGTCAAATTTGAGAAGTAGAAGGCGAGGGTCCACGATCTCCCATATATCCACGGTCAAAGTTGCCGTGGAGCGTGTGAATAGACACTGCCCTGTTTTTGATCGATTTCGGGATGGTAATGAGGATCATTATAGATGTATTAGAGCGATAACACTTTCGTCTGAAGCTTTTGATAGAAGATTCTCGAGGGAATCGCCGATCTTGAGAATTGCATTGAATTTAAAAAACCATTTGCGGCAAATAAATTTGTTCAAGACAAGAATTGAAATTTTTCTACGATTTTATGGAGATGTTTCAGGCATTCGGTTAGCTCAAGTATATTTTTTTCTGTATGAATATTTTTTACTCTTTGCTATTTTAATTCTTTTCAGTTTCTATTTCATGTTCTTTTTGATCGATTTCGGGGAATTTCACTGCATATTCATATATTATTACGATGTTCCATCTGAATTTCTTGATTACTCCTTCAATCCCATGTTTTTCACTCCAATTTTAAGCCAAGAGCCTCACGGTATGACTAATTCATTCAATTCCCTTGAGACGATTCCAAGGAATTTTCAGTTTAAGAGAGTAATTCAATTTCTGGGGGACGTGAAAGGCTTTGAGGATTCTCCGAGGATTCTCTACTTGAAGAACTCGGTACCATAGGGCACGGGCTTACACATTACACAGTTGACCCGCGCTGTGACCAGTTGAGAATGGTGCCGGAGGGGGGAGGAGGGCGAGGCAATTTATGCTCTGTTTGGTCGCTAGTTGCCATCACGACTGAACCTGCCCCACTGTTTTTACTGCGCATGTCGCACGCAGAAAAATCAAGAAAAATCACGCTCCTTAAGAAGTACGTCTTTGCTTCTATCAAAAATATCAAGGCTGGAAAATTTTCGAGAGCAAAATATTTTGGCCTGAAAAGTCAAGTGATTGTTGCACAATCAGAGAATTCATTTTATTTTTAATTGAATGAATTTTGTTTTTATTTCAATAATAAGAATAAGAATGGATAAAATTAAATTAATCTAATTGTAGAGACGGAAATTGAAATAAAATGAAGTAAAATAAAATAAAATAAAATAAAATAAAATAAAATAAAATAAAATAAAATAAAATAAAATAAAATAAAATAAAATAAAATAAAATAAAATAAAATAAAATAAAATAAAATAAAATAAAATAAAATAAAATAAAATAAAATAAAATAAAATAAAATAAAATAAAATAAAATAAAATAAAATAAAATAAAATAAAATAAAATAAAATAAAATAAAATAAAATAAAATAAAATAAAATAAAATAAAATAAAATAAAATGAAATAAAATAAAATAAAACAAATCAATCTAGCGGCGGTAATAATTAACCCATGAATTGATCATAATTTAATAAGTAGCGATGACTTAAAGTTGAAGAAGAGAATAACATCACAGTTTTTGTGATAAAAAAAGATATTTCGTCATGACATTGACGTCTAGTCCAGATTATTTGAAGATGTTATCAACTCCTAATGTCCAAGAACATTACAAACCCCGAGAATTCCGCACCTCCTGCGGAATTGAAAGCGTCTGAACTGCCCCAATTAATCATCTTTAATGCAACGTCACCAGCATCCGCGCGTTTGATAGTCCCCACTTCCTCCCCCAGCGGCTCATCACCAAAGAAACTGACGTCTGGTTGCACAGGAAGTCGCAACCACCCAGTAATTCGTCATGTTCTTCTTGCAGCTAGACGCCGGGGACCACCCAGCGGGTGTTAACAATGCAATTGTGTATACAGTTATGCGAGAATCTCCGGGATACTAATGACGGGCTGGTGCGGGTTTAGAGGGGCCTGAAAATTAAGGATATCCAATTACTTTGTTTTTTTTTGCTCCCGAATGAAAGCTTTATAATCGTTCAAATTTAAGTTTTCGTTTTTTTGTGTTATTTAATCATTTTTATTATAGTTCAACTCATTTTTTAATAACAAAATACATGGAAATTTCGGGTAAATGAGTGATTGGTAAAAATTTCAAGATTTTTTACTTGAGATTTCAGGAGTCATTTTCTGACAGTGAAACTGTTAACGATACTTGGAGGCCCTTAAATGTAATTTGGTACCGGATCTTCGTGTTTTGATTGGAAATTCAGGGCAGCTCCAGAATTCTAATTTTTCTGCTGCTCAAAGGTTTGGAATTTCGTTGAATTTCCGATGAAATTTGAAATTTACTGTTTTTTTTCTTTAAATTGAATTCAATGTCCCTTTCCTAAAGCCCACTCTTAAATATTTTTAGAATTATTCGGAAGATCAGTTATTCTGTCGCTAAAAAAAACCCTTATGGATCACATAAGACTGTTAGTACCTTCTGGCTCTAATTTCTGGTACACTTCTTGGAAATTTTTATCACATCATGGTTTCGTTGTTATTTCAAGGAATTTTACAATTAAAAATTCCAAATTTTATGGAAAATTCAACAGAAAATGCAATCTCAGTTTAATTATTCCATCAAAATCAATAAAAATTGGAAAATTTCAGGTGAAAATATTTATTTATTCATTTATTCCTTTACATTTTTTACTAATTGAAAGTTGACTTCAATTTGATACTGAAAATTCGTATGTGGATTGAAAATTCACCTAAGTCAAGGAATTCTCGTCTTTCTGCTGCTTAAAAATTTGGAATTTCATTCAATTTTCAGTGAAATCTTCATAGACTTCATAATTTTTCCCTCTAAACTGAAGATGCACTTTCAATTATGTATATTCTTACAGTCCCGAGAAATAAATTGATATGAATTAAAAAAAATATTTAAACGTTCAAAATTTTTTAAATTTCTCAAATCAAAAATGATTTCCATATTCATATTAATACATATTCACTCCATAATCATTAATAATCCAACATATTACTGCACGAATAATGTGTCCACATATTCCCCCATTCAATGAACCCTTTCATATTCGCGATTCCGGAATAATTTCTCCCCCCAAAGGATTAGAAATTCAAAGCCAAACGGTTCGCACTCTTCCCCCAAGTTTTTCTCCCCAAAAAAAGTATCATTTTGTGTTTTAAAACATTTAAACGATCTAAATTTTTTAAATTTCTCAAATCAAAAATGATTTGCACATTCATATTAATAAATATTCACTCCATAATCATTGATAATCCAACATATTACTGCACGAATAATGTGTCCACATATTCCCCCATTCAATGAACCCTTTCATATTCGCGATTCCGGAATAATTTCTCCCCCCAAAGGATTAGAAATTCAAAGCCAAACGGTTCGCACTCTTCCCCCAAGTTTTTCTCCCCAAAAAAAGTATCATTGTGTGTTTTAAAATATTTAAACGTTCTAAATTTTTTAAATTTCTCAAATCAAAAATGATTTGCACATTCATATTAATATATATTCACTCCATAATCATTAATAATCCAACATATTACTGCACGAATAATGTGTCCACATATTCCCCCATTCAATGAACCCTTTCATATTCGCGATTCCGGAATAATTTCTCCGCCCAAAGGATTAGAAATTCAAAGCCAAACTGTTCGCACTCTTCCCCCAAGTTTTTCTCCCCAAAAAAAGTATCATTGTGTGTTTTAAAATATTTAAACGTTCTAAATTTTTTAAATTTCTCAAATCAAAAATGATTTGCACATTCATATTAATATATATTCACTCCATAATCATTCATAATCCAACATATTACTGCACGAATAATGTGTCCACATATTCCCCCATTCAATGAACCCTTTCATATTCGCGATTCCGGAATAATTTCTCCCCCCAAAGGATTCGAAATTCAAAGCCAAACGGTTCGCACTCTTCCCCCAAGTTTTTCTCCCCAAAAAAGCATCATTTTGTGTTTTGCCATGCCCCAAGTACCTCTTGCATACCAATGAGCTACAGCCATTGTTTACAAAGCACCCGACGTGCATACACTTACACCCGGCAACTCCGCAGAACATTATGTACCTTATGTACAACTTTATGAAACGCACATCCATCTAGTGCTCCTGGGACTTGTCAATGTGATGGTTGCAGCAAGCCACCTCTCGTTAGTTATCGAGTTTGGCACACGAAGGCGTTAACGAGCTCCGACGTTTCAAATGTTAACTTCCAACTTTTTGGAGCGGCATTTCTCCAGACAGTTCTATCGCCTCTATTAATTCCCCTCCGCCCACACTCTCCTTTGATTCCGTTCAAAACCTCGTCTGGTTCTACCACAAAACTTGCTTCATTAAATGTAACGATTATCGCTCACTCATTAACGGGCACGTCCGTGGCAAAGTCTCAAAGTCCTGAATCTTTGGAAGTTTATCGTTCACCCGGCGCTGGGCTCTTTATATTTATTTGGACTGACGGGGGAATGCTTATGGGGAGAGGGATGTTTTGGGTTATTGGAACAGTTTAATTGGATTGAAGAGAGAACGTTTTTGACAGAACTTATTAACTCAAGGGGAAATGGTTTTTTGCGGCAAGTTGAAAATACATTTGCTAAAAATTGAATTTTTCCCATTGAATTTTACATTTTTTTGAAATCATAATGATGTTTTTCAATCGTATTGGGTTCATTTATATGGGCTCCTACGCATCAAATTAAATTCTTCATTTATTCTAAGAGCTTCTCTGAAAATCAGGTGAAAAAGTTCTGATTCTCAGTTATTTTTCGTTTGAACTTAGAATCATTGCACTTGAATCAAACTGTCTTTATACTTATTTTTGGAAAATCTTGGTTCTTAAATTAAGAACCCAACAAAAACTGTTTTTGATTGGATGATTTTTCATTATTTGAAGTGAATATACTCGTGTTAAGTATTTTTGAAAATACCTCTGAAGTTTATAATTTTATTCCAAGATAATTTAAAACTCGTTATCATTGAAAGCTCTCGGCGCTGGGTCCTATATATTTATTTGGACCGACGGGGGACGTTGGAACAATTTAATTAGATTGAAAAGAGAACGTTTTTGACAGAATTTATTAAATCAAGGGGTTTAATTAGTTTTTGCTGCAGGCAGTTGAAAATGCATTTCCAAAAAATTGGAATTTTATTATTTTTGATTTGTTTCATCGAATTTTACATTTTTAAAAATCTGTCCCCTCTCACAAGATGTTCCTGAAAATGTTGATTAATTTTTTCATTCATATTTTCTCTTCCAGAGTTCCTCCATGATCAGAGATACGTTCTTCGCGGAGAGTTGGGGAGAGACGTCGTCTCTAGAGGTGAGTTGTAGCACACTCTGAATATTAATGGGGACCAGACTCCATGAGTTATCTCAGGTGAAAGGGGTTTCAGATTAGGGACGTGATTCGAGGGAATCTTGGGTCGTGTCCTAGTTTTTTAAAGTCAAAATTCGTGTTGCATGAAGTTGAAAATAATTTTTATATGGGAAAAATCATGACATTTGAATTAATTGAATTTAACTGATGACTTTTCTCATTTCTACTCTTTATTCATCTATTCTTTATATATTTATTCTTTTTATTTGTGTATATATTTTAATGAATCAAGGGAGAATGACCAAACCATAATTAATGAAAATAATTTGAGGCGACAAACATGTCAATTTAAGAACCTCAAGATTTTTATTTCAAGAACCCCGAGGCTTTTGGTTTCGGTACCCAACAGTTCTTATTTTAAGCCAAAGTACTGGATTTCAGTAAAAATTACTGAGAACAAGAACTATTGGAGTCGTTCAACGATGACGTACGCAAATTTTGGGACGATTTTGACCCTTCCCCTCCCCTCTATGTCCGCATATGCAAAAATATATATATTCAAAGAATGTATTAAATTGACCTATATTATACATACTTTTATATATTTTTCCATGCCCCCCTCCCCAGCTACATTTACGTAATACTTGAATGCCTCCTTTTCTCTTATTCTCCGAGAAAACCCGCTGGAATCCAGTACTTTTTGTCTCTGGAGACCAGAGACTTTTTCTCTCTATATTCACGATAACAAAAAACCGTCTTATCACTCCGTGAATCGTCGCCGCGATTGCTATTTGCCTATTCAGGTCAGTCGGCACGCAACTACCCCCTCTCCCCGAGCCGCCCGTCTCCAAAAGGCGTGTAACAGCACGCGATTTTATTTATGCCGGGTATCCTCGGAACCTGAGTGGAGACTCGCCGAGGAACAGGGATGAATAACATCCGGCCTCGTGTTTTTTTTGCAACAAAATTTATCTTTTTCTCTTATTTGCAGGTCCTTACAGTTGGACATGAATAAATTTTTATAAAAAACGATCCTCATCTAGTTATATTAAGAACCGGGAGAGAAATATTCAATAAAAATTACCTATCTTTTCCGTAATTCCGGAGCGAAATGTGGTTGTAGTAAATTTTACGGGACTGTCACGTAATTTTTATCTAAAATCACGGAATTACCAGAGCGTTCCGTAATTTTTATCTGAATCGCCTGTGGAACATTACGATACCGTCACTTAAGGGTGCCAAGTGAATTTGGCGATGACCTTGAAAATTGACGTTCACCAACAAAGTTATAATTTTTTTAATTAATGGTATTAGACAGATGGTGAACATCGGTGACAATTTTAAAATTTTAGAACTTATGGATATCGAGAAATTAAATAAACAAAATCAGTCTTATACACGGCCTCTTATGGAGTTTTGACTAAATTGAACGTTTCAACCCCCTAGGAACTCAAGAAAAATTTGAAAAAATTTGAAGATATGGGGAATGATGTGTTCAATGTGATGACGACAAAAAACAATGGGGTACCGGGGTGAATAAGAGAGATATTTCAAGCCGCCGTACCCATTTGAACCCCTGCGTTCTCGAGGTTCGTCACGCGAAATAGAGGATTTTCCGCATTTATTTTCTCGATGTCTAGTTCCGGTTGCGAGTTTGAAATTTCGTCGGATGGATGAATACATATTTCTCTAATGATGGAGGGAAAGAAAAAAATTTTTTTGAATCTTTTTTCAAATTCACTTGGCACCCTTAAATTCTCCGAGTCGATTCCGTAATCGGTGAGCGCACTGTGAGTTCCGTAATTTTTACTGAACATTTATCTCCGTGAAGTTTTCGGCGAAGATGTCTATGAATAAATGAGTCGCAAAGGCACATCCGGCCTCGTTAATTGCGCACTGGGTCCGCAGTGACTGACGCTTTATGTTTTATCACAGCTGCTATAATTACCCGCGCTTTAAAAGAGTTTAACGGGGAGGAGATCGTTAATGGTCCTCGTAAGGAGTAAAAAAAATTAAGTATACATGGGATCGTTCAATCACCCAGGGAAATGGGATTTTTTTATCCCGGGGACGAGGGGAAAACGTGAGGTGAAAAATTCCCACGGCTGGGGGTGGGAAAATGGGTTGAGGATGAGCAGGGAAGCGTATAGAGTCGATAAACGTGATCTGGACGTTGCTCGTGGCACCCACTGGGTTAATAGCCATAAAAAACGAAACTTGAGCGCCAGCCCAGACGAACGTAACTGTCCCCGTTGCGCGATTTACGAGGGGAGTTTCATTCTCTTGAGTTTATCTGGGTGAAAATATGAGACATTTTTGGGTTGTTTTGGGGAATTTGCGGGCGGAGAGAAAAGGCGGATAAAAATTACGGAGAAGATCGTGGGGTAATTTGATGGACCAAATGATGCCAATGATGATGATGATGATGATGACTTGGTGGATGGTGAGGTGATCTGGAGCGAAATGTAAATCAATGAAAAATACGGGTTTGTGGAGGATATTTTACGACTTGTTCGGTGAAAAAAATATCTATGGATATCAATATTATAGTCCTGTATAGTAAAATTTCCCACACCGTAATTTTACCGAGAGCGTGAGGTGGAAAATCATTCTCCGTTGCAGAAAAATTGGAGGCAATATTGAGCAATCACTCCCGTTCACTGGGATAATTTTGGATGGAATGCAGGGGAAATTTTAGAGACTTGGTACAAATTACCCTCAAGCTCAGTACATTTTCCCCGGCTGATGGAGGAAGATGTTCGGATGATTTATTAATTTAAAATATTTTTTTTTGTTCGGGCGATTGATTGTGGGGTTAACCGTATGGAAAAATGTAGGGGAGGGTGGGGCAAAACGGCCCCCTTCAATTGTCAATAACTTGTGAATGACATTGTGAAAATTCCCAGTTTCAACTTCATTTTGAAGATAATTTTTCATTCTTCAAAACGAGCTCTAACTCATCCCAATCGGATTATTGAATCGCAAAATATTGATGATTGAAGGGGGGCCGTTTTGCCCCATCCTCCCCTATATTGTAGACTAAAATTGAAATTTCATGGGGAGCTTAGTACACTGTTGGGAATTTTTGACTGGAATTTCCGGGACACTTCTTTGAAATTTTGATTACATTATAATTCTACTGAAATTTCAGAGAATTTCGACATTAAAAATTCGAAATTTTTGGGAAAATCAATAGAAATTGCGCATTCCAATCCAATTATTTCATCAAAATTAACAGAAATAAAAAAAATTCCAAGGTTCTCTCAAATTTTCAATTAATTGGTACTGAATATTCATCACTAGTCAACTATTCACGAAATTTAATTTTATTTTCCAACAGTGCAGGAATTTTCCGGAGAGTGACATTGAGTTTTATTGAAGTTTCAATGAAAATTAAATGGAATTCTCAATTTTTCAGCAAAGGCAAGACGAGAATTCTTCAAATTACTAATTGAAGAGCGCCATTTACAACAGTTTTTACATTGATACGTTAATAAATGGACTATTTATGAATTTGTTGACGACGGGATTTTTTTTCAGATAATGGACAGGCAGTTCAGACCCGTGTTGCCCTGATTCTCTCGCTGATTTCGTTGGTGGGTGTTATACTCCTCTATCTGTGGACATTTTTGAGGGGGAAGAAACTGAGGGGCGCGTGGAAGAAAATCTGTGGAACGAAATGGACGAAGGTAATTCAACTGGATTTTTTTCTGAAATTGTTGGTAATTTTGCAATTTTCCTGATAATAACACAATTTTAGACAAACGTCACAAAAAAATTCCTGCAGAAAATTCCATCAGTTCCAAAACACCTCGTTTTTGAAATGAAAGAAAAATATATATTAAAAATTGAATTGTCAAAAATTTTTGTCAAGTCACTATTTTTTATTGAACTCAATTCATATTAATCAAAAAATAGTATTCATTTTCCAAAAAAAATAAAGTTCGAGAGGAAATTTTTGTTAATTTTGTTAAGTTTCTAGATAAATACAATTTAAAAAAAATGTCTAAAACTTTTCTTGTAAAAAATTCCCCAACTTCCAAAACTCTTTGATATTTTTTCTTAAAAAAAAACAGTCATTACCGAGATATTTCCGATTTTCTACGATAGAAAAACTCAAATTAAAAAAAAACGAAATACATAATAACTTCCTATCGGGAAGTTCGAAAATTGAGATATTTAAAGATTTCGTCAATCCACTATTTTTGATTAATTAAACCCCATCCATTTCCCTACAAAAATAATATTCTTTTTCCAGAAAAAAATAAATAACAACAAAATACGAGACGACGTCGAGGCAGGTCCCCCCAAACAGCAAAATGTCCTGAAACTGACAATGCCAACGATAAGCAGATCTGTGGCAGCTGCCAGTCAAGGGACTACTGGTACCAATGTCAGTACCTCCAGTACCCCCAACACCACGAGTACTCCATTATCCAGGAGACATCCCAGCGAGGACACCACTCTGGATTACGCCTACGATAATCCCGCTATGACGCCCAGTCCCGAGACGGCGCCAGCGAAGACGAAGAAGGAAAGTTCATTCTAACGAATTTTACAAATAAATTGTTCAACATTCTCGACGATTTTCTCGAGGTTTAGAATTTTTTAGTGGTCTTCAAGAAAGAAACCCCCAGGATTTTTACGAAATTTTTGCATTTTGAATTTTGACATTTTGAAATTGTTGATATCTTAATCAATTTTTGAACTTTTGGAAAGAATGAAAGTTCTCTAGCTCTTGAAAATGATGAAAAATTGGAGAGTCATACGAAATCATCTCGACCGCAAGTGGTTTGAGGCAAATATTCGAAAGAACCAATCGATTTGCAATTTCTTTCGTGAAACTACTCGTTTTAAAAATAATTTTTCGATTAACAAAGATAATTCCATCTCTCTGTCTAAATTATTCATCTCTTATTAATCGTAGCACGACTGTTCCCTGCATTCGTGAACCGTGCGGCTGTGCGACTTAATTCATATTAAACCGATCATTAACCCCTAGGATACTATTAATCCCTCTGTAAATTCAGGAAAAGCTAATTTTACCATTCCCCAATAGTTAATCAAAGGGGAGGGTCTAGTGAAATGGACACTTTTTTTGTTTAAGGATATGCAAGCACTTCGTTCAAGTTAACAACTTACTTTCAAGCAAGATTTCACTTTTGTCAAAAATGTTACCATCCCCATACTTTTTTCGGATTTGTCATTGTGGAATAGGGTAAACAGGTCAATTTCTGGACGATTTCAGCTTGCATTGAATATTCCACAAATAAAATGAAAATTGTATTAATTATTTCACCTCTCCATAATATCCCTTGTGTATAATCATGTGATCAATTATTTTCTTCTATTGATCAACATTTAATCAATAAATAAAAATATGACCCAGTCGTCCAGAAATTGCGGGTTTCGGCTACATTCAACTATTTCTCAATTTAATTATTCTTTGTTTTGTTATTTTCACTTCAAACAATTTTCGGCAATTGGCTTGGTCATCCCACATTTTTTCGGGATTTTCTTCAATGAATATTGCGAATAATATTCTATTCATATGGCAACACTGCACAATTCAGTAGCGAAGTGGTGAAAGCAGATAAGTGCATTTAAAAATTAAAAAATAAAATTTCTTGCGTGAATCACAATGAAATATTAATTTTGAAATGGTAATAATAATATTTCAAACTTCGCTACTGAATTTACAAAGGGAACATTGTCCCATAAATTTTACCATTTCATCGACAGTTCAATGAAGTATTAACATTTAAAAAACGATAAAGTGTGTCCATATCGCCCCACTCTCCCCTGCCTCTACATTTATCGACTTAGTTTACACAACATTCGCTACTGAGCCCTGGATTTCCAGCGCCAACTTTTATTTCTTAAGTGTAACGAAATCCTTATCAGCCATTCCGTCCATGAAAGGCCTTGAGTGCAAACGCAGTGCAATAAATGCAGGCTTTGCATAGGTCGGTCACGTTTCACGAGGAAACGCGTTAAGAAAGCACAAATGATTGTAGTATAAAAAAATATGAGAAAATGGCACAATAGAATGGGAACAAGAGGAAAAAATCGAATTGCAGATGTTGATAACACTGTTGGAATAAAAAATTAAAATTTCATGGACAGTTGACTAGTAATTTTCGGGACAGTGACGTTGAATTGGATTTAGGGGTAAAAATTATGTTAGAGTTCACTGAAGATTCAATGGAATTCTAAATTTTTTAACAGAAGGAAGACGAGAAATTCCTAACTTTAATTTTTTAGTGAAAACATGAGTATTTTTGTACCAAATCGCAATGAATTTTTAATTAATCGACAATTTAATAATATATGGACATGACATTCTCCGATTTCTTGTGATTTTTCCATAAAATTTTGAATTCTCAACAGAGATCGGCAGGAAAATAATTTCCATTATTAGTATTTCATTACAACATCAATGGTAAACCAACAAATTAAATTATGATTTATTTCGTAATGAATAATAATAGTAAATGCCTCTTTTCATTGCGATTTTAATGAGAAATGAAAATGACAAATGAGGCAAATAATTTTTCAATCAATAATGGTACAAAATTCTTGTTTATTATTACGTGAATGGAAAATGTAAAAGACAAAATACTGATGTCTTTCGTCATGAATAATGATACGCAATTAAAAAATTAAAATACGACGACTTTCGTGAAGAATAATAGAGATATTTCGATTTTTATTATCGATTGAATGATTACTGTAAAATAATCACGTGTAATTCCCGATTAGATAAATAATAATATTTTATTTTCAATTATTACTCATTGATACCGTATTAAAAAAATGGGAATTTCTCAATATTCACTCATATATAATGAAAAATATTCTCACATTGATAGTGATTAAACAAAAAATATGCGGTACAAAAATAATATTTATGCCGCATTATTACAAAAACTATATCAGAAATTTTAGCCAAATTTTTCAACAGTGAATGCTCAAATGTTTTTTTTGTGTTGTTTTTACGCGCCTAAAAATGACTTTTCCTAAAATTTGAAACTTGCATTCCCCAAATTTTGAAAATAAAATCGTCCATTTCTCCTAAACCCTTTCTCCACGAGAATTTCGCCCGGAATTTCCCGGCTGGCCCCTCACACCTCAATCGAAATTTCATTCCGAAATTTCTGACATTACAATTTCCCAGCGATCATTTCCTCTCTAAACTCCCAAAAGTTACTATTAGCTGAATTTCCATGCGTATCCTGCAAAAAACCTCCCGATTTGCTCAATCAAAACCTGAAAAACAATCAAAAAAATAATGTACAAAAAATTTGCTCAAGAAACACAAAATTTTCTCTGCAACAAATTTCGTGAATCGCCGCGTCTCCTCCGCCGAAACTGACCGATCTTCTACCATAACTATCTTATTACAATTAGTATTAAGTACCGTTAACGATAGAATAATGTATTAGTGATATGTGCACACTTATCGACGGAAGCAGTAATTCAGGAGAAATAATCTAAGATTAATTGTACAGTGACTTAAGTATTCCCCGATGGGTCTTCCGTCTTCCAGAATCCAGGATATTAATTGCCCCGTGGCAGCTATTAATTTTAAGTCTATCTCAGCAGCACAAGTCTGCGGTGATTTTAATCACAAACAATTCATACTGACTATTGTTGATTAATCTGAATGGTTATGAAATTGTCGGGACGTATAATAACTGAAAGCTCATTGTGTGTGTGCGATGTGCATTGTTAATTTCATATTCATACCTGAGATAAGTGGGTTATCGAGTGGAAATTGGAATGAATGGTGTTGTTACGGGCGAATTAATTGGCGCGTCCTTCCTGATGATTGAAAATAATTCATCCGAGGGGTAATTACTTCATCCGTCCTTTATTGATTGTGAGTGAAATTGAATTAAATTAGTGAGTAGCGAAAATTATTGCTATCGAGTATCTGGTTTGCGAGAGAATTGAGTTATTGATAATTAAGTGACGAATATTAATAAATATTTTACTAGAAATGTAATCAAGACAAAATGATAGTTTGTCTCTAAAATTTAGTGTTTTTTTCTCGTTTTTTGGATTTTTATGAACGAAAATTTTAATTGTTACTGTTTTTAAATGTTATTGATAGCTTTTAAATTTAGGGAAATGATTTCCCAATGGAATTTTCGTACCACCCGACATCACATCAATTGTTGTACAGCTAGTTCATATTTCAGTTAAGAAATTAGTTAAGTTTATCGTTGAGTTGTATTTACTTTTTTTTCTTCGCGTCAGGTGCCTTCGGAAATATCAAAACCTCGTGAGCGATTACGAATGGAATTTGAAATTTCGCGTTGTGTGGGGTGAGCAGACAATTTTAACATGAATTTCTCGTAGAGATGTGGTTATCGAATTTGTAGTTGTGATTTGTAAATGATTATTTGTTGATACGACACAATTGGAAATTTTTTGTATATATTTGGTAATAAACATGTTCAAAATGTAAAACTGGTGGAAAATTTAATTTTTTTAGATGACAATAAATATTGTTTAAACTATGGATTTAAACTTTTGCAGTATTTATTTAGTTATTTATTTATTTATTCTAGATGATTGGAGTAAATCAAATCTTTCCCACATGCAGTAAATGAAAAATTTATTAATGGATTGTTTTTTTATGCTGTAATCATAATTTATTTCCTTCTCATATATACAAATATATACAATTCCTTTAAAATGAAAGATAAATATAATAATTAGGCACGGTGAGAACAGAACAACTAAGATATGTCATATACCCGTTGAATATAAAAAGCGCACGGACGAAAAATTTAATAGAAAAACCTAACAAATTCGATGGGAAATTCGACTTGATTTCGGTTGAATTTTCTATTAGTTTCTTGTGAGCTTTTGGAAAATACTAAATGGAAACTATTCTATGGGAGAAATCAATGCGATTCGAATTTTCTATAGAACTTATTCTTTTCAGATATTTTATGTCAAAATTTAAAAAATTTTTAATGCAAACTTTAAAAATTTTTTTGCTTGATTTTTTTAATGAAAATAAAAGAGAAATAGAGTGGAAAAAGAAACTTGGAAGATTCATCAGCGGACTTCTATAGAAAAAATCAATAGGATTTGATTTTTCTATACAACTTATTCCATTGAGGTATTTTCTGTAGAAATTTCTCAGCTCAAACGTTCTATAATTTTTGTTCAGCTTTTTCAATGAGAAGAGAAGAAAAATAGAGAAAATTCATCAGCGGAATTATTTACTAAAATTAGCCAAAAACTAATAAAATTTTCCATCAAATTCCGTGGATTTTTCTCTGAAATTTTTTCGTGCGTGTCTCATTAATATTCCGAGAAACCTCCATTCACAACTACGCCCCTCCACTTATCTACCAATAAACACCTACACGAAACAGTGTTCCTCATAAAACAATAAAAATTCCACCTTTTTACGATGAGATTAGCCTAGAATGACTGAAATGCCAAGCGTTTATTTCCATTTATTCTATTGTAATACCCGCATTTGTAATTAATTACACAGCCTGCTGAATCATCATAACAAATAGAGTAATGTCAGTTATAACTAGGTCAATATATGCTTCGATATGCCCGTGAACAAATGTCCTCTTAACACCTAGGTAATTGCTAATAATCATACATTAATTTTCCTTAGTTTAACGATATGTTTTCCAGTTTGTTTCAATTCAATAGATCACGGGCTGAATCAGTTGCGTCGGTTATTGGTCCTGAAGGCTTTTAATCCGTTCAATCGATTTCTGTACAATTCATTGGATTCTATAATTGAATCGGTGAATTCATTAAAGGAAGACCAGAGTATCGCTGTTGAGAATTTCGGGGGGGACACGTATGAAAAAATTTAATAGAAATTTTAGAGAATTCACTAGAAAATTCAATGGGACATCTATTAAAATTCTAGCGAATTCTCGTTAAAATTCTATTGTTTTTTTGCGTAGATTCTGTTAGGATTCGTTTCTCTTGAGATTTTTTCTATCAAATGTCTTATAGAATCAGCGCAAAAAACAAATAGAATTTTGATTAGAATTCCCTAGAATTTCCATAGAATCCCAATAGAATTTATAGATAATTCCAATGCAATTTTCTAACGAATTCGCCAAGTAATAATTAACTACATAATTAATTAATTAATTAACTAGTTAATTAACTAATTAATTGATTAATTTTATACGTAATAATTAAGCTAATAATTAACTAAGTTTTTCTATTGACGTTTTTCACATGTGATTTTTTAGTAGAAGATTCTGGGAACTCAAGGCGAGGCGTAAGTTTCATATTTTCAGTGGAAAATGTCAACGAATAGACCAGCAGGTTTCGTTTAGCGATTGATATCCTTAAAAATTAACGTGTTTTACCGGCATTTCATAACTCAATTATGCCTCGATTGTAAACAAAATGCAACATCTATAACTTTAATGAATTGAATTGTTCATTCTTACAGAATACAGAGAGTTAATTGTCATTTTCACTTACGAAAGAAATTTTATTGCAATTTCATGAAATTGTCTAGACTTTTGTTATTCTGAAAATAATCACTGTTATTTGAAATGATTCTCTTTTTTATTTTTCATAATTTCTCATTGTAATCGGAAATTAGGTGAATTTTTTTATTGAATCATATCGTCTGGTGAATAATATCTAACGCTTCATTTTTGTAACAGAAAAAATCACGTATTTTTCATCATTTGTAGGAATGAAAATACTCGTCTTTTATTTTTTTTTCAATAATTTGCATCCATTATTAATTTAAAAAAATCATGGAAGTACTCAATTATTATCATTTTAGAAATTATTCATGAGATAAAGTTCAATATTTCTGGAAAATTGAGGTTTATTTCATTTTAATTTCCTGTACGAACTGAAAATATGAAATCTTCAGTTTCAAGAAACTTCTATTGAAGATATGAATTAGGAATTTTACCGACAATTCCCTAAAATTTTAATAGAATCTCAGTAGGATTTCTAGAGAATTTCAATCGAATTTTCCAGCGAATTCGCTAAGTTTTTCTATTGAATTTCTTCATACGTGGATTTTCAGCAGAAGATCCTTGGAACTGAAGGCGAGGCATGAGTTTCATATTTTCAGTGGAAAATGTCAACGAATAGAACAACAGGTTTCGTTTAGCGCAAAAAATCACGTATTTTTCATCATTTGTAGGAATAAAAATACTCGTCTTTTATTTTTTTCAACAATTTGCATCTATTAATAAAAAAAATCATGCAAGTACTCAATTATTATTATTTTTAAAAAATTTCATTACATAATGTTCGAGATTTCTGGAAAATTGAGGTCTATTTCATTGTAATTTTCTGTAAAACCTGAAAATACGAAATATTCAGTTTCAAGAAACTTCTATTGACGATTTCAATTCGAAATTTTCAACAGCGCGATGATTGATATCTATTCTACCCTCACGTAGTCGTAGTGTTCGGGGTTTTAAGATGAGATTATCTCGGAGTCGCTCGCGTTCTCTGTCGTCCCTTCCATTGATCCGCTATCTGAGTCGATTATGAGAGGTTTCAAATTATCTGAAATAATGAAAATGAAGTTTCGTATTTCTCGACACGTTGGAATAGTATTTAGGATGATCAATGTAATATTTACAGAAATTTGATGCATTACTGCTTACTCTTGAAGACCGCAGGGATGATTGGCTGTCCCTCATGCTCGATTTTATGGCATGACCTGAGGAACATACGAAAAATAATTTTTTCCACGAGGTTTAACTCGTTAATCCATAGCTTTAGAGTATGATTTGACGATTAGAATGATGTGCAGTTGTTCCCTTCATGTACTAGAATATGACGAGAGGTTGAGGATGACTTCACGTATCATAAAATTCAACACATTTTGTTATTAACTGTATTAAACACAATTTTTCGAATTATTTGCAGTTTAATTAGAGAATTTTTCTTGAAAACAAATTATTGAAATAAAAAAAATTTGGAAGCATTTAATTGGAGAGATGTCTCATTATTTGGAAACGAAAACTAAGAAAAATTTTGTCTCCAACTGTTTGTTACTGAGTCGTTAAATTAAAATAAATTGGTGATTAATTAAAAATTCATAAACAAACCAAATTTCATAAGTTTTCGCCTAATTTATGCCACGAGATTTAACTCTTCGAGTCGGGATTTTGGAGCACCATTCAACAATTATAAAGACGTCTAATTGTTCTTTACAATTATCAGAATACGAAATTTGATGAAAAAAAAAATGCGAATAAAAATACGAAATTTGATGAAAAAAAAATGTAAAAGCGTTTAATTTCTTCTCGTTTCCACAGGGTTTTCTAAACCCGAGAGAAATCACATTTATTGGAGATTAAAAGTAACAAAATTTTTTAATCCAAGGCTTTGTTAATGAGTCATTGAACGAAATGAAATAACATTAAATTAAATTAATTAAAATCAGCCCAAACCAAACTTCAAGGAAGAAAAAAATCACCAGTTTTCGTGTCCAAATACCCCAGTATATATTTTCATTCGTTATTGTCATTGAAAATTGACAGTATGATGAGTGAAATATTGTACCAACTTTTACGGCCTTCTCGATGGTGTGGGAAACAAGAAGGGATTACCATTGAGGACGACGATTGGTGTTGCCGAGGGCGTTGCCAAATACGATGAACTCCTGTGCTGTGCCATAACAAGTTCCTTCGTATTTTTCTCCGGTTTCATCAGTACAATGTAAACTTTCGGGAAGAATGAACAACCGAGCTGCACGAGACCACTCAGGGAGAGGGATAGGGCCAGTGTAACAACTCGAATTGAATTATTCGCAGAGGCGAGGTACAGCGGTACAAATGCCAGCCAGAGGACCATCGTTGTATAATTCGTGAATGCTATGTGACGGGTTTCGTTGAATCCCTCGGGACATTTCCGAGTTTTAATTGCGTATATTGTGCAGGTGACTGTGAAAAAAAAATTTACTCAATTGACGAATGATTTTTTTTTTTAATTTTGTGTTTTAATTTTTGCAAATATTTTATTAAGGAATTTCTTTTTGTATTTGAATAATTGATATAAATCATTATTCAGGGGATTACTTAATTAATCAATTGACTGATTGAGTATTTTAGTCACTGATGTATTCAATTTTCAAATGAATAAACAAAATAATGAATAAATGAATAAATAAATTTTTCTTGAAAATATTAAATATTTCAATCAAAAATTTCTTTTTTTCATGAATCTCTTTTTGGATATTTGCACAATTAATATAATTCATTATTCAAGAAATCAATTAATTAATTAACTGATTGAGTATTTTAGTCATTTATTTATTCAGTCTCTAGAAAATTTAGTCGAACACATGAGATTTTGCATGAAAATATTAAATATTCCGCTTTGTTAAATATTTCCACTAATTGCCATCAATTGACAAATCAATTGCAGAAATCATTCAAACGAATTTTGAAATTCATTTTTTTGAAATTTTGTTCCACAATAATTGCACATTATAATTTTTTTTCCAGTAAGATCTAAATCAATAAATTAATAATTCCTTAATTGACTGATTGATTAATTAAATAATCCATGCACTCATTCATTTCCACAATAATGCAATTACCAGGTTCAAAATTCAATTCGCATTCCTTTAAAAAAAATCAACAATTCAATTTCCTGAAATTCGAAATATTCTCACCAATTAAAATAAAAGGATAGACCAATCCCACCATATAAGACCTATCATCCAGCCCCTGGCATATCCTGAGTCTCGAATCCCTCGTGGGATAGGAATGCGCAATAGCCGGTGGAACTTGCAGCAGCCAAATGCCATTAATAACAATTTCTACGAATGTTAAAATTCCCGTGATGATGAGTTGTGACCTCGGGCTGGTGTACTTGGGCTTGTGAGGACTGTGGCATTTTTTATTGAAGATCCTGTGGATCCTGTTGGTCTTGGTGACCAGTGCGGCGTAACAGAGAGTGTAACACAATCCAATTCCGAAACGAGTGATCGCACAGGTCTCGGTGGTCGGTTCAGCGACGATTGCGAATGTCATTAGGAATGATACTAGGGTACCTAGGAGGAGGAGGGATGATAGCTCACGGCCAGAGGCTTTTATCACCGGGGTATCACTGTAGATCCAGAAGACTGACAGGACGAATATCGTTAGAAGAATTCCTGGGAAATGGAAATTTAAGCTATTGATTTTTAGATATAGTATTTACCTCTGTTAATGGTAATATATAATCACTAGGGGATTAACCCCCTGCTCACCCGCTCGCCAACCCCCATATGACCCACATATGACCCCCATGCTCCTCATTCTGAACCTTGTGACCCTTAATCTGACCGTCGCGACCCTTACTTTCCCTCTTCCCTTCTGACCCGTAATTACGGAGTCTTAATATCGAGTACCAAATTTTCATCGCCAGAAGTCGATTTGGATTTTTATTATGTAGAGAGTCTGACCTGTGTGACCCTTAATCCGACCCTTGTGGCCCTCATTTGGACGCTCAATCTGACCCTTGCGACCCTTCTTTGGGTTCTTAATCTGACCCTCATTATAACCCTCGTGACCCCTATTATGTGCCTTATTACGACCCTTACTATGACCTTGTGATCCTTATTTGGACCTTCAATCTGACCTTTATGATCCTTATTTGGATCTGACCCTCATTATAACCCTCGTGATCCCTCTTATGACCCTTATTAGGACCCTTGTAGCCCTTAGTTTCTGAACCTTGGTTTTTGACCCTCATGACCCTTACTTGGGCCCTTACCCTGACCCTTGAGACTCTCTTATTTAGACATTTAATCTGACCTTTATTACCCTTATTTGAACCTTTAATCTGACCCTTGTGAGCCTTGTGATTCTTCATTTGACCCATATGACCCTTAATCTGACTTATTATGACCCTCGAGACGCTTATTCTGACCCTCATGCCCCATATTTTGACCTTCATGACCCTTGTGATCTTTGATTTTGCAGTTCTAATTTTGAGTACCAAATTTTCACTACCAGAAGTCGATTTGGATTTTTATAATCTAGAGAGATAATTCATTTTATTTTTCTATTTGTTTATTTATTCATTTATCCACTTATTCATTTATTTATTTATTTATTTATAAAACAATGAAAATAATGAGAACGAAAGCTCAATCAACGAATAATTACTTATAAAAGGCTGAAAGATTTTAAATAAAGAAATATTCAAACATTGAAATGACTTTTTTACGTTCTAATGAAACGAATAAAAACATTTCACGACAGGCAACCATAAACATTCGAGTTTTTATTATGTCAAACTTTATGTACGAGGGAATAAAGCGTCTTATTACCACAGCTGGCCACTGCCATCGTCCCTACCGCCCAAGGACTCGAGTAATCGATGAAGTCCTCCTCAATGGGTGCGCAAAGTTTTCTGTCGCTAGTCGGTCTTGTGCCCCACTCGCAGTCCTCACACCTGTGACCGTCGACCTTCCATTGGTACAGACCGCAGTTTCTGCATCTCCAGCAGCAGGGATCGACCTTCTCACGAACTTTCACTTGATTGGGAAGACAGGTCTCTGAACATGTGGAGTTCGGGAAGAACTTGCGGCCTAGTGCACCCTGGCTACGGTACTTCATGAGGGTTGAGTTTATGTGGAGAATCGGCTCGCCACTGTCGCTTTCTGGGGGGAGAGGGAATGGGGATTATGGTAATACTGATTTGTGGATAATTTCGCGCATGAAAAAATTTAATAGAAAAATGTAGCGTATTCGCTGGAATATTGTATCGGATTTCTATTGAAATGTTCAATAGGAATTAGTCTATAGAAAAATTTAATAGAATTAGATTTTTCTATGCAACTCATTCCATTGAGATATTTTCTGGAGAATTTCTCCGGATCAAATTTTCTAAGTTCTTTTTCACTCTATTTTTCTGTTCTTTTCCTCAAGAAAATCAAAAAAAAATCTGGAATAAGATTTACTTATCTTCATTGAAATTTAAAAATCATATAATAATTGTTGATTAATTTTTTTTTCTATTGACTATTAAATAAATAATTGACAATATGGAATTGTCAACCAAGTATTGAGTAAATTTTTTTAAATGTCATACAAGTGTTTTTCTACTAACGAAATAATCGTCAATCTTCCGAACTCAATTATTGATTGATAAAATAATTCGGAATTCGAATATTTAATTTTATGATTAATTTAATAATTAAAAAAATGGTGAGTAGTAATAACAATTGACTTTTTAAAAATTTAACTTCAAAATTTAATTTTATATCGAAGATTTCAATAGAATCGGCCGAAAAATGATACAAAGTTCAATAGAAATTCCATAGAATTTTCCAACGAATTCGCAGAATGCAGCTGCTCAGGGCATAGATCGGCGTCAATCATTAATTTAGTAATATTATGAGAAGTTGCACCTTACAGTAATTAAGATTTATTCATCTTCATTGAAATTAAAAAAATAATATAATAATTGTTGACTAATTTTTTTTTTCAATTGATTATTAACTAAATAATTGACAATATAAAATTGTCAATTAACTATTCAGTAAATATTTCTCAATGTCATAAAAATATTTTTCGATTTGCGAAATAATCGTCAATCTTGCGAATGCAATTATTGGTTGATAAAATAATTCGGAATTTGAATATTGAAATTGATGATTAATTCAATAATTAAAAAATTGGTGAGTAATACTAACAATTGACTTATCTGAAACTCAACTTTAATCAAAATTTATGATTATGCCGATGTCCGTCTCAAAGTGATAAGATCCATAATTCATTGAATCATCTCATCTTTCGTGTTCGGAAATTACGTATGTTCAAATGAAACAATTTCTACCTCGGCAATCAATCACATCAACGTCTTCCATAATTGAAAATGCAAAATCGAATTCAATCGCGAAGTAACTTGAATTATAAAGTAATTAGAAAACGCCAGGTGAAGCAGTCAGAAGTTGATTCCCCTGAAAAGCTCTGACATTTAATTAAAATTCATGAGAAGAAATTCCCGAGGAAAAATCGATTAAAGTACTGGAGTCGTACATATGGATTTTCCACGATTTTTCTCCAATACTCGAGTTATTGGACCTTGAATATTGATAGTTCTCTCCTGTATTCAATTTTCCCTCGCGCTTCGAATCGTTTGTCTCCGTAATTACTTTTTTTCCGTTCCTTCCACTCTGTTACCTCCATTCTTCACATCTTTTCTTGGACACTGGGAATATTAATGACTTCACGATTACAATCTAACATTTCCTGCAGTGAAATGTCTGAAATTTCCGGAACAGAAATAAATTTCTGTCTAAATATTAAGGAGAATTAAATTTTTGTATCAAAGTAAAAAGATGAAATTCTAGTGAATTTTTTAATAAAATAGTTTTCATTAAATATTTTCTATCGAATTCGCTAGGTTTCCCCAATAAATTTTTTGCGCGTGTTTCCTTCCCCTTCAAATTCATACCCAGTCAGTATTATCTAAACTAAATTTCGCAAAATATTGATATTTTTTTAAACATTTCCTCCTTATAAATAAATAATAAAACTTGTTTGCAAAACGGTGGATTATTTTTTATGAGGTGTCAAAAAAATTCTTGATTTTTCCACATCTAATGAATAAAAAATCAGATTTTAATCTTTGATTCACATAAGACATTGGGTTAAATCCTGATTTTTAAACATTTCGTCTTTGGAAAACCAAAACGACAACCAAATTGAGAAAAAAATTAGAATTCCGAATCTAATCGAGTTTTCTGCAATTTTTTTGCAGTTTTCAATAATCTTTGAATTTACCGTAAGGGTAGAGCTACTTTAAATCGCCAAAGTATTGGATATCCTTAATTCTAACATCACCATTTCCTCAACTCACGTGTGTAATTACCCACGACGTGCCACCGATAAGTCCCGTCGTCCCCCTTCTGATAATTCAAAATGGTATACCTCAATGGGCCATCGACATTGTTAACAAATCTGAATGGATTGCCCGCCTCATCTGCAACCACATTAAAATACAATCGTCATTACGAAAATGTTTGTTCGAGTGCCCTCGAGTGTTTGAAATAATCAGTGTAAAGCACTCTCACCTTTAAACGTGACCGTATTCAAGTATCTCGAAAGAGTCTCACCATCAATGTGTCTCATCCCCTCGCACATACCCTCATAATGCTCACCGCACACATTTACCTGCATGTCGTGGAGTGCATGCGCTACAGCATACACAGCATCACGTACGAAGTGGAGGAACTTTTGCTGCTTGTAACCAGTTTCAGAATTCATTTTCAGTGACGGATCGTTGCAGGATGTCCCCTGAGGTTGACAATGAAATGACATCGTTTTGGGTTAATTGAGAATTTCCAAAGTTATTCAAACGTTTTACGTTAATATTCGGTATTATTCGGAAATAATCAATGGCAGAATTATTATTATCCTTTAAGGGGAGGCTACTATGAGTTTTTAAAATCGTGGGCTATTGGAGTGAGACTTTTCATACGTTGAAGATCGATTATATAAATCTAAAAACGAATAATTAGCGAAAAAAAAATTTTTTTTATTGGTCGTTTGCCCGCAAACGCTTAAAATGATAAAAACAGTTCAGGGCCTCCAATTTTTGAGCTTCAAAAGATTTTTTTTTCAAAATTTTCGGAAAAATGTGTGAAACAACAATTACGAGCCAGTTTTTTCGAATTCGACTCCTACACAGCTGATTTCGGTTTTTTTCTATAAAAAAATTCACTATTTGTGTAAAAAATACAAAAAAAATTTAGCCTAAGAGGCGAATTAAAAAAAAACTAGCTCGTAATTGTTATTCCACATATTTTTCCGAAAATTTTGAAAAAAAAAATCCTTCGTAGCTCAAAAATTGGAGGCCCTGGACTGTTTTTGACATTTTAAGCGTTTTCGGGCAAACGAACAATAAAAAAAAATTTTTTTGCACTAATTATTTGTTTTCAGATCTATATAACCGATCTTCAACGTATGAAAAGTCTCACTCCAATAACCCACGACTTTTAAAACTCATAGTAGTCTCCCCTTAAGTCGACTAAACTCCTAGTTGACTTTTTGAGGAATATTTCGGACTCTAAGGGCGATAGTGAACAAAAAAATATATCATAACAATAATAATGAATGAAATTGAATTAATCTAATTGTGAAGACGAAAATTAAAAAGAAAAATGTTAAAAAAACATGGTATAAATTAATGAAGTTATAAACGTCTTCATTTACAATTTAATTCTGTCATTGAATATTTTCGAATATTCAATATTTCTTCGTCCCTGCGTCCCACTGTACAATTTATAATTTGCGAGAGCAGGACATTGCACTGAGAAAAAAATATATTTTTGCCAAATATTCAGTAATTTGAGAGAAGCATTTATTTCTTTAAAATCGTGTTTCTCCAATCGAGTCATTCCCAGGCGAGTCCGATTAGTTTTCAATTATAATAATCATGTTGCGTTGGAAAATGACTATTTTAAACCAAAAATCTTGGGCAATATTAGAATTTAAAAGGGCGGTGGGTCGTCTTTCATTCAAATTATCCAAAATAAATAAGAGATTTATTATCGAATCGACAACGACATTTTCAATTTGACCCAGTGACTCACATTTCCAGATTTTCCGCATCTGTGATAGTTCTCCCAGAACTCCCGAAACCAGGGATTAATCTTTTCATGGCTGAGCGATAGATTCTTGAAGTAGTCATCGAAGCCCCCGAGATTTCTCGACAATGGCTGTACTGCGAGAGCCCCCTCAAGTACCATTTCCTCGTACTTATTGCGATTCCAGGGATTGAGAAATTCACGGTGGTTTGTGTTGGACCATGCGTCACTGCCGATCCAAACGAATCTGGTGCCAAGGCCCAGTCTTCTCGCTGCCTCCAGCACGCGGAGGGTTGTACTCCTCTCGGAGAAGATCACAACGACTGCAGATTAATTTTTCTATCAACTAATTGATCTATGAGGCGTTGAGCATTCAATAATAGAATAAGGAAATCAATTAAATTGAATGAAGAAATTTGAAGCTTTTTCATTCATAAGAAATAATTGTTTTGGAAATCAAATTTTTTAACAAAAAATTTCTTTATTTTCGATGATACGCAGTAGAACATTTCCATTGAAACAAGTCAGAAAGTGCTTTTGTTATAGCGTAGTCAATATATTTTTGCTAATAAATTAACAATTTGGTTTCGAAGGGAATTGTTATGACGATGGGTTTTAAATTTAATTATATGATTCGGTAAATTCAACATTGGCCCGACATTGCCCCAACATTGGCAGCCAACATTGTCATTGCCAAAATAATTTTTTTGAACAACAGATGATGCAATCAATCTCATGACAAACTCAATCAAGATGGCATTGGGAAGACTATTTTAAATCACAATTGGATTCATTCAAACAATTATTTTCTCAGTACACAGATTATTTTTTCACATTTACACATACATATTCATCCATCTGTACATAATCTAAAAATAGCATATTTGCATATTTGAACTCTTGAGGCCAAAATTAGAATTCAAAAAAAGAAAATTGAAATTTCCAATCGGAAGAAAAAACACGCGAATGAATTGCGAAATTTCCCGAAAAAATCTCCCAAAAGGTAGTAGAAAGTTCGATACATTTCATCCACGAACCGCTCAAAAACCCGCAATTATAAATTAATAGGGGAGGATGGGGCAAAACGGTCCCCCTTCAATCGTCAATATTTTCCGATTCAATAATCCGATTGGGATGAGTTAGAGCTCGTTTTGAAGAATGAAAAATTATCTTCAAAATGAAGTTGAAACTGGGAATTTTCACAATGTCATTCACAAGTTATTGACAATTGAAGGGGGGCCGTTTTGCCCCACCCTCCCCTAATTCCCCTCAGAATTCAATCTATCCATAACAAAACAAATCGTTCATCCCACGTAAACCCCGAATACGTTTTCCAACTTCTCAGACTTATTCTAAATGAATATTCCATCTGAATATCCCAGCAACAGTTTGAAACTCTCCCCCAAACTTTAGGTGTCAGTGCTGAACAAAAGGGGTAAAACCCACTGTGAACAATGGGTCAGGGAGAATTGGGGACAAAGGAGGGAGGAATAAGTTCAAATTGATTGAAAACGTTACCTCTAACTTCAGTCTTGTTCGCGATTGTACGAATGACATTGTCGTAGTCCTCATCGACAAAACGCTCCTTGTCTATTCTCTGTGGTGCGCTGAAGCAGATTGAATAGTTATTCGCGAGGGATACCAGTGTCTCGTATCCGCGATTGCCATATTCTGTGTCCGAGTAAACCGCTGATACGTAAGTCCACTGGAATCGTCTGGGGAAAATTATTCATCGGGATAATCTATTTATTGTATTATTCCCTCATTTATTCATTTTCTTTAAAAATGAACTTAACGAATGAAATAATAAAGATGATGATCATAAAATTATCATTTTTCTATTATTATCAATGTTATTTATTTATGATAAATGATGTATTCATCGAATTAAAAATATTATAAGTATTTTCTAATTTTTAATATATAATTAATAAATATTTGTGGACGTCCACATAAAAGAGGACCACTTTGTCGATTCTAGTTTCCGAGATATCTCAACTTTTTGTCTCAGCAACTCCCATTTGCACCAATGTTAAGGGTGCCAAGTAAATTTGAAAAAAGATTCAAAAAAAATTTTTTCTTTCCCTCCATCATTGGAGAAATATGTATTCATCCATCCGACGAAATTTCAAACCCGCAACCGGAACTAGACATCGAGAAAATAAATGCGGAAAATCCTCTATTTCGCGTGACGAACCTCGAGAAAGCATGGGATCAAATGGGTACGGCGGGTTGAAATATCTCTCTTATTCACCCCGGTACCCCATTGTTTTTTGTCGCCATCACATTGAACACATCATTCCCCATATCTTCAAATTTTTTCAAATTTTTCTTGAGTTCCTAGGGGGTTGAAACGTTCAATTTAATCAAAACTCCATAAGAGGCCGCGTATAAGACTGATTTTGTTTATTTAATTTCTCGATATCCATAAATTCTAAAATTTTAAAATTATCACCGACGTTCACCGTCTGTCTAATACTATTAATTAAAAAAATTATAACTTTGTTGGTGAATGTCAATTTTCAAGGTCATCGCCAAATTCACTTGGCACCCTTAAATTGTTTTTTCCCTCTTCTCCAACGACGTCATTTTTGACCCCATGAAGATCATTTTCGGCTCAAAATGTACGGAATGTTATCAATATTATCAGAGTATACATAACACAAAGACAAAGTGGTCCCTTGTCATGCGGAGGTCCACATTTATCGAAATTTAGATGTTAATGTGTCAAACACATTGTTTTCAAAGTTATGAAATCGGTGATCTTCATTCAATGGGTTTAAATACCGAGAGTTTAAAGACCGAGAATAGAAAAACTCACTTCAATATTTCTAGCATCGCGTGGGCCTGGTTGACGTCACTCGGCACAGTCCTGTAGAAATGCGGATATCGCTCCTTGTTACTGAGCGACGGGGTTGTTGCCATGTAAGATACTTGAGGCACGGTAAATAGCCGGAGCATTGAGGCTACCTGGGATTTATATGTGGAACAAGTTGACATTATTCATTGGAATTTAATTCAAACTTGAGAGATATGACCGATTTAAATGACATAAAACTCTCTATTTAGCATTTCTCATTTTTCCCTTTTTCTCCGATTGATTTCAACAATATCAGGAATTGATAAACTTATATATATTTTTATGAAAATGCTCTAATTACATGAAATGAATAATTCATTAATTCCCAATGAAGGATTATTATATATTAATAAATTCGTTCTCTTCTTCACTATTTAAACAATAACTGTTGAAATGTTTATTCGATTGAGAGAACATTTCTTTGTACTGAAGAACTATTGATTCCCTGTGAATAAAAACGTAAATAAATATAAAGTTTAATTGAGGAAAAAATGAAACAAAATCAAATTATATAAACACATTTATTCAATTCAAAAGAAAAGATTATGGTTGTTAATATTAATTTTTATTGAAGCAAAATTGTGTTTCAACAATATTTTTCAACTGAAAATTGATAAATTCATGTATTCATTCCCTCGAAGATATTTCTATTACATAAAATACCTGAAAAATAAATTAATTCCAAGTGAATAATCGACTAGAAACGAATAAATAAATAATTTAATCTGAATAAAGAACTATTTTACCATTTCATTCGTCACTAATGAAGTCTTTATTTGGATCAAACAAACATTTGTTTTTATTTTAAAAAAAAGTCCAATTCGTCGTTACTTTTAAACTGATTATTCGCTGCTTTATTTATCGTTTCAAAATATTGCTTCTGGTTTGTCGATAAATTGCCTTCTGCCATCAGTAGCACTAGCGAATGTTCCGTAAAAACCGCTGTGTGTGGGATAAATTGAATGTCCGCCCTGAAAGGTTCCTAAGTCAATATGTGTGTTATTGAGTTTCGCGAATGTTTTGTTCTGTTCTGTTCCGTTGGCCACCGGCGACCCCTTTTTCCCCTCGAGATGTCGTCAATTCGATTTAGCCAATGGAGTAATTCAATAAAAAGAGTCTCGACCCGTTGACAAGGTTAATTACTCCTTAATTGAAGGTGTTTTTTCATAAAAATAAATAATTGTATTGAATTTGTTACGCATCAGAAATTTTTTCAGAACAGAAAATATTAATTTACTCATTTATTTATTCATCAAATTTACTATTTATTTATTACATAAATAAATATAATACAATTTAATATAATATATTATTCATCTATTTATTCATTTAATAAATGAATAGTAAAATGAATAAATAAATAGGTAAATAAATAATTAAATCCCATCGTATTTTGTCTGGATACGTTGACAAGTTTAATTCCTCCTTCATTAAAATTTTGTTTATTCATAAAAATAAATAATCGCGTTAAATTCATTTGCCGCGAAAAAATATGATTGTTATAAAATAAATTAATCCTCCGGAAAACCTTCCGTTTTCTTCAACAAAAACTCCCGTCATTTCCCTCAACAATACAATAAAAATGGTCTCGATCCGTTGACAAGGTTAATTGCTGCTTAATTAGTCGCGAAAGAGGCGAGAAATATCGAAAAATCCCCGACTGTTTTTGTGTCGGCGCCAGGCGTCATCGAGGCCTCCGCAGCGTTCAATGCGCCACCCTTTGACGAGATTGTTTACGCCGCAGGGCGCAGCGGGAAAAAGGTCCCAGAGAAATTTCACTGACGAGGGATAATTCGACGTTCGAGGGCATGTGGCTTTTGATCCATCTACACTGGAATACTTTATCGGATTTTTGTTTCACTTTGTATGTACTCACCTGCAGTGTTACGGAACTCGACTGCGCTGCGAGCACCGCAACGACTTTGTCGAAACCCCCACCCAGGAATCTTGGGATACTTCCGTCTGAGCACTGAAATTCCTGCTCGTGGAATTCATTGACGTGAGCTATGAAACCTGTGGATCAAGCCGGGAGAATTTTAAAGGGTTTTAATGGGTTGCGCGGATGTTGCGGAGAATGCGAATTGTTAATTGGGAAGTTTTTTTTTTTTTTTTTTTTTTTTTTTTTTTTTTGCTATCATATACCCTATTCGGGTTTTTACATGTTTTGCGGTTTCATGGGCCGACTTACTCTCCAACCGTGTCGCATTGTACCCCAGGAGCTGTACCCCATGTACAGACTCTTCTGGTGATCAAAGGAAACCATGGGAAACCTTGGTCGACACCGGCGTCCATCGACCGAGCTTCATCGGAGAATGTTTCCCTAACACTTCTCCGATGATTCTCGGTGTCCAGACTTCCGTTCGACGGTTTCCGAAAGATTAAAAATTGCAATTGCCCCAAGCCGGACTCGAACCCGCGCCGCACGGGTCCTGCCGTCCGGCCGAGCAATTTAACCGCTTCGGCCACCGTCGCCGGTTAATTGGGAAGTTTGGGGGCGATTTCTGATGTTTCGACTGAACAACTCACCTTTAACAAAATTAAGTGCCTGCTCAAGTGCGTAATTAGCATTATCGCAAGAGTCAAACGCGAGTACTCCGAGTTTAATTCCAGGCAAAAGCTTTGGATCCTTGTTTATCTGCTTGACTGTGTACAGCATCGCCTCGAGGGGCTGAATCCCATCCTCCCACTGAAATAAGAAAAACACGAATTCGTACTGAGGGAAATGGAGAAAGCTGAATGGTGCGTGTTGCGGAACGAATCGATTGACTTTTCCTCAGTGCAGATATTCCGTAATTTTTTGCTGCTCTCCGCTCGGCCAGCTGGACCCGAGCCAGATTCGGCAATTCGAGGGTGCATCCCTCGGTTCTTGTGCGAGTCAAGTGGCTCGGGAAATTGTGACCAACATTGGCGTCTGACAAGCTCTCAAGATCCTGTATTTCGTGACCTTTTGGAGCTTTTGCTCTTTTAAAGGTGGATCGGAAATTCGTTGAATTTCATTGTATTTTTTTCATGGAGAACAAAGTTGAGGAAAGATTGTCGACAAAATTTCTGAAATTTTACCGTCCGAATGATAATCGCTGAGCAAAATGTGCGGACGAGGTCTAAAAATTAGATTTTAGGACTTTTTGGATTTTCCTAAGTCGATATAACACACAAAAACCAAAACTTAAATTTGAAGGATTACAAAGCTCTCATTCGGAAGCAATAAAAAAAAATAAAAATTTTAGGACGAAAAAACAAAATTGACAACAAAATGAAAACGTAGTATTGCATTAGCATGGTATAGTAATAGGGTCAGAATAAGGGGCATAAGGGTCAAAATAAGGGCCACGGGGGTTAAAATATGCATCATAAGGGTCATGAGGGTCAGATTGAGGGTCACAGGGATCAGATTAAGGGTCATGAGGGTCTAAAAAGGGTAATGAGGGTCTAAAAAGGGCCATGAGGGTCAGATTAAGGGTCCCAACGATCAGAATAAAGGTCATAAAGATCACGGGGGTCAAAATAATGGCCAAGAGAGTCAGAATAAGGATCACGAGGGTCATAATAAGGGTTATGAGGGCCATGAGGGTCTGAATAAGGGTCGCGAGGGTCAGAGTAAGGGCCACAAGGATCTGATTAACGGTCGTGAGGGTCTAAAAAGGGTCAGATTAAGGGTTCCAAGGATCAGAATAAGGATCATGAGGGTCATATGTGGGTCACATGGGGGTACCCTATACTTTCATATACTATAAAAAGAAATTACATTTTTTGAAAATAGAAGAAAATAGAACGAGTCAACAGGAAAATTCACTGTTCAATCGGTTGATGATCGAATGGACGAATAAATCAAGAAATAAAAATCCCTCGATACCGATTCAAAAAGACCTAGAACGGAATTTCGCTCTCTGCCGACGATGAGCCAAAACCTTTACCTGAATTTTCCCGCAGCTTTCGCCGTTGCTCCCCTTCCTGTGAACCGGAAACAGTGCCCCGAGGGTAATATCACCCGTAACATTCACGTACAATTTCGCGTGGGCTAGAGCGATCCCGGTAGCAAGAAGGATCAAGCCAATCGAGTATAAAGTCCTCATTCTCTCCAATCCACCGTCCCACCGACTCCGGCGCCAAGACCTGCACAAAGAAGGAGGAACGAATGAGCAAACGAGTTACTCCAGTATAAATAAATAAAATCAGGGGATTATTGAATCAGAATGGGGAAGAGTGCGCTCCACTCTCGTGGCATAAAACAATGGGATATCGATTCTCACTGCTTGGAGGAAAGTCTAAAGTGCAGATAGTCGGTCTTCTGGATGTCCTACTTTGATATTATTACTAATTCAAGGAATTTTTTTTTTGAGAATAAATCCATTCAAGATATCTAATACAATGACACATTTTTTACCCCAAGTGTTCTGTACATTTCAAATTAATTTCATCAATGGGAAAAGGGAATTTATTAATTTATCAAGATGAATAATCGATAATTGAGTAATAAATACTATTAATTAACGATGGCAAATTGACTTTTTAATTACTTTGTTAATTAAAATTTTATTAATGCAAAAATTAATTTATTATTATAATTGATGAATAATTTATTGATAATTGTTAGTAATTTATGATCCTAAATTGGTTTATAATTTATAATTGATAAACATGTAAAAATCTCTTATTCACTTGGATTTATTTGATAGAAAAAATTATTATTCCACATAATTGATGCATTTTCACTGAAATAAATCTATAAATATATTAATTAGCAACAAAAACTTGGGCTAGAAAAATTTTTGAATAGAGTTTCATTCGATTCAAACAGTTTTTATTTATTGGAACATAAATTTGCCTGGATAATAACTTTAGAGAATGACTCATTATAAATTAATGACAAAACGTAGGTCAAGATAATAACACGATTCTCATGTAATGCCCTCTGACCCCCGGCAGAGCTCTCTCGCCCCCTTTGTCACTCCAGTGGCTGTGGATTCTCCGCCGATGGAGCGCTTTAATCACCAAGGTAATGAGGGCTAAATTGTCTTTGAACAATGAGCGTCAGGATGCCATCCCGTTATGTGTCTCCCGTTTATACTCGGTGGCTGTAAACTATCCTCGTTCTATCCATAATACCTCATTTCTACAGCCGCCGCTGGCTCTGTTGTCCCTCGAGCCGGTGGGATTCAAGCACACCAAGGGCTAATTACATTATCGATGCGCATGCATTGAGGATATCATTAACGATGTATTGATCTCATTTGTCAAGGAAATTGGGGTGATATTGGGTTCAAATGTTTCATGATTTTTTGTTTCATCAGCGCAAAAATGAGAGAAATATTTGATAAAAATTATCCTACCGTTCTATAAAACTGTATCATGAGTCATCGTTTCCTCATTTCTATCCCGAAATTTAGTAAAATTTACTATATGATGATCTGATTTTATTTTACATTAGAGAAATTTTACTGACGCATAATAAATTTCACCCTACCGGTACAGTCATTTTTATTTTTATCAGGATAAAATTTCTCTGACGTAGAATAAAATTTGATCATCATATATTAATTTTTACTAAATTTCGGGATGAAAATGAGGAAACGATGACTCATGATACACTTTTATAGAACGGTAGGATAATTTTTATCCAAAATTTCTCTCCGTGTACAAGAATTTTTTGCATACGAAAATTACAAAAATTGAGGCTCCGTCGACCCGCAAAAATAGACATTTGGAGATGTTGAAAATATAGTTCTGAGTATTTAGATTATAAATTTCGTTGCGGACATGAACCCCCCGGGCGCTTCCACTCATAAACTAAACGAGTTTTTTCTCCTTGCTGCATGAATTCACAAAAAGATTTTAACAAACAGAGAGTGGAAATGAATGTTTCACCTGATATACTCCCATGCAAATGAGAAAGTTGGGGAAACATTATTTCTTTCAATTGAGAGGGAAGAAACTTGTCGTATTTCAAGTTGTAATTGAACTAGTCCTCTTTCAGAACCACTCGAAGGGAATATGCCACATTGAAGTGCTGTTTGTCGGTTGCAAGCTGAAAAGTTTTTCATGCCTCAGAATACTTTTGCTCACTTATTCCACGAGGTACAGTGAATTGAAATGAGGAAAGAACAATTTTATTAAATAAATTCACGTTTTATTTCGTGATGTTGAACTTTTGTTTATTAAAATTAAAAACTATCGATTTGAGCAGTAGAATAATATAACATAATAAATTATAAAATAACAAATATTTAATACTTCAATAGAACATTTTTTTCTTTAATTTGAAAGTCAAATTAAATGAATGAATGATTTCTAAAATGAATTTGAGAATGAAAAAATTAATAAATAATTAATTCTCTATTATCATTTCAATTTTATTAAATAAATTCACGTTTTATTTCGTGACGTTGAACTTTTGTTTATTAAAATTAAAAACTATCGATTGGAGCAATAGAATAATATAACATAATAAATTATAAAACAACAAATATTTAATACTTCAATAGAAATTTTTTTTCTTTAATTTGAAAATCAAATTAAATGAATGAATGATTTTTAAAATGAATTTGAAATTGAAAAAGTCCATGTATTTTTATTTTTGTTATTATTTTATTTCATGATGTTGGCATTTTTTTAAATAAAAATGAAGAACTGGCCATTAAATAAATAGCATAACGTAGTATAATAGATTGAAAAAAAACAATATTTAATAATCCAATGAATGAATGATTTTTAAAGTGAATTTGAGAATGAAAAAATTAATATATAATTATTTCTCTATTATCATTTCACTTTGTTCAATTCATTAAATACTAAATTATCCATATTAATTAAATTCCCATAAGAATTTCCACATCGCTCTTTCCCTCAACTCCTGATATAAAACTGAAGTACACGAGTATCTCGCCCCGGGCAGGCACCTCTCGAGAACCCAGAGAGTGGAATCGGCCCGCAGTGAGAATTAAACGCGCCTAAAAGGCAGAAATAATAGCTCGGGTGTAGCATTACAGTATGTGTATTGCCGCGATAACCGAGCGCATGTTCTCAGCGAGATGTTAATATACGATGCATGCGCCCGTACACTTCTCCATTACCCAAATTGGATTCTATAATTAACACTTTGAATAAATTCTACATGATGAACAAGTGGGCGAGGCTATTCCTGCATCTCGAGACCACATTATTCCTCATGGGGTTCTAATTATGATCGCAGGGAGAAAAAGTTTGCGGTTTCCAGTAGCAGTCTCGGGATGTCTGTGGACCGGGGCACTCAAATCCAGAGACAAAAAGCGCTGGATTCCAGCAATTCCGCAAGTTCCAGTTCCCAGGAATTTTCACTGGGAGAATAAATTAGTTCTGCCGAAAAATTATATGTTCCCCTGAAGAGATCTTTTGTCGTGTTGAATCCATTTACTTGTGGACAAAAAAAAAGTTTCCGCCAAAACATGATAATTTTCGCAGTGGTAATTGCTCTCGTGAGACATTTATATGTCTTTCGGGTAAATACATTCGTTCTACAGAGAATTTTATGAGGCTCCGGTTTTATCAAGTGAATGTTATTGAGTAGTGTATATCTTTGTCCAATAAACACTTATAATTTCCATGGAACAAATGATAATTTCAAGAGGAAACTACAATTTTCTTGCCGATAACTGTGTTATTGGCAAAACTAAATAATTTCGAGGGGACAATTTTTTTTGGGAAAAAAATATTCTTTCCTCGTCAATGTATTCTTTCTATGGTATAAACCTATGGAGTTCTCTCAGATCAAATGATTGTCGTACAATAGATTATATTTTTTCCTGCCAACAGTTCGAATTCTTCTAGAGATATTTCTGATGATCACGACAAAAATTTAATTTTTGTGAAAGATATTCAATTTCCTTCTGTCAAGCTGATTAATTTCCCTCGAGTAAATCAGCTCCACTTCATCAAATATTCTCACGTGGAACCTATTGGCAGAGAAAATTTTTTCCCCGTGTGGTGGAGACAACTGACTAAATAAAGGGAATTGGGGGAAAATCGTGGCTCTGACAACTGCATGAGCACCTGGAATTCATGCTGCCACTGGCTTCCATTGAAAATATGATAATATCGACTGAAATGTCGAATGAAAGTCATGAATTATTCAGCGAAATGAATTCAACATGAGCAAAAATTGAATCTGCAATCCATCCCTGATTTCTATATTTAACTATTTCTATTGATCGTCAGTCCGAAAGAAGTTTAATCCCGCAATTTACAGTCACATTAGAGCCAACGAATCGAAAGTGTATATTTTCAGTCCGCATACCCGAGCAGTTCCGTCTCCCCAATTTTTATTTTTAAATTCCAAACTAAAACTACGATTTTCGCGATATTGAGTTCCTCAACTTGAATTACCCCCACCAATGAATTAATCATGAGCTAAAAAAATTGAGTTTATCATTTCACACTTTCGCACGAAGAAAACAGCTACCGGTAAATTTTCTATTTATATTCAGCCCATCTTCTTCATTCTCGTTCTGTGCAGCCGGGAACAATCCGGAAATACCGACTCGTTATTAAAAAAAATTTGCATTCACCCCTGAGAGAGGGAGATTTATTTCCGTCAGAATAATTTCCTCAATCCAGAGTCTATTCATCCTAACCATCAATCACTCAACTGACTCGGGCCATATTTTTATCCTCCATCCGGAAGAAAACCACTGCGCCTGGCTTTCCACTTCTAATTGATCATTCGAACGAGTAAACACGATATTGCCATTTCACCCTCAACTGATCCAATTCTCGAATAGTTTCAGTCAGCCGTAAGTATAAAAATTACATCAATTCGAAGGGTTGTGGTTCGAACATGTTTTTTCATCTGGAAAAATATGTTATTGACGCGCATAAAAGTGGCTGCTATTATTTCTCAATGACCAAGTGTGTGGAAAATACAGATTTACGTTTTTTTTTTTTTTCATTTCTTTTTTCAACAAATTTTCTCAAAAAATTTCACTGAGGATTCTTTTTCTTTCATACAAATTGTTAAAAAAACATTTATTACAATAATAATAATAATAATAATAATAATAATAATAATAATGATAAAAACAATTATTTTATGATTTTTAACAATTTTTAAAAATTAGTAATTTTTAGTAATGAAATTATTG